ATTTGATCATTTCGGTTTTTTTATGTTTGCAAATGTTGTTTTTTTCCTCTAATGGGAAACAAGGGTTTACAAGCACTGCAATAAATAAATTACTTTACATAGGCACTTTTAAGTCCAAAGCAATTGGCCCACGAATGGGAATTTCATATTCCTCTTCCTTTTTGTACAATTTCAACAAATTGATAGATAACATGTTAAAATGATGATCCCAATTCTCTGTCTCTCGATGCATTATGCTGTCAAGAAAAAAATGAGATGCATTCTTGACAATTCGCACATATTTTTTTTTTTTATAAGAGGAACACTGAATGTATCTGGTGTTTCAATGTATGTTATTCATGGGAATACATTGTAGGTGGAAGACAATGTGTCATCCTTCTCACGAATACGAGACAATTGTGACAAATTTCGTCATGATCTCAATGTCGTTTGAGTTATGTCAATGTCAGATGTGTCAAGTATAGCGGTCGCCGAAAATATTATTCTTTCACGGATTAGGGCCTAACTACTTGTTTTGTCACTGTGCTCCGAAGGTAGAGAAGACCCCTCTATAGGCACGCGTCGCCTGCTACGTTAGTGGAGCCAACACGAGTGGCCGTTGATAATTAAACTTGACTGTGTAATTATATCGGCCAAATTACGATGCTAGGCAATTACAACGATGCAACTAGGTGACGGTAAATAGGTACGACATGTATACACACTCGGAACATACAAGGGGCTGTGTAAGCGGGTGACACCGCGTATGCCTGCCGATGATGACTCGCGAATGTCCCATGGGTTCTGCGGAGAGGCCTGCCAATTTCACCTCTCTCTCTCTCGATAATTAGGAAAGCCAATCAGATGGATTCTATCTTCAGTGATGCGTGCGGCTGCTATCTTTTCTATGTACACGAGGAGGATGTTGTTGTCACATTTTAAGATACATAATTTCCCGACTTTTTTAATAAACATAGTTGCCTAGTATTTAAGTCTGAAAAACAAACAAAAGCAAAACAAACAAAACATCTCTTACCCCATTATTCACAAGACGCCGAAGTGCTGAGAAAAACACATGTCAGGCAGTAATAAAAATTGTTTTTAGGGGGAAAGGTAAATATTGGATTGGTCTTTCGATGAATGGCCTGATTAAACGATTTAAACTCAATTTCTACAAATTCCTTCCAAATCATACTCCATCTCCCCTGGAAGCAATCATGCCGAAAATTCGTCTTCGTTTGCAATGGAGTTATCAGTAGCTTGGGTGCAATATCGGAAAGACAATTCAAAGTGACGGCTGATAGGCCACTCTACGACTTAGCGTTGATACTTTCAACCTTGAAGAAAAAACATCCTCAAAATTGTTGCAATTGCCCGCTTCAAGGTACACTCAATGAAATTGGATTAGCCCCGTACATGGAAAGGCCGCTCGGCTGCAGAATGTGTAATCATAATGTTTAACGCTTGCTTTGTTGTTAATCATTGCTAGTTTACGCTCTCGTGAGTTTGCCAGCCTGGATCGGTCCCGTAGTCGTCGGCTTGAAGACACACCGTGGACAGGCAGTGCGGGGCTCACCGCGTGCCTGTAGCGGCTCGTCCCAAGATGCTCACGGGGGACTTGCATGCATGGCCACGGCAGCTGGGCAGGCCTCTCAACATCGCACGCTTGATTACTCCGTGCACAGAAATCCTCTCGCTTGGTCTTGCCAATATAATGCCACCGTTATTGCATGCCATAGCGTGTTGTAGACGATCGGTTACTTACGAGTTTCGGGCGAATGCACACTTGAAAACGATAGAGAATTAGAAGGACGGGCGAACGAAATTATTGCAAGAGTGGAGGAATGGCGATTGATCTTATAGCAAAGCTCGTTGCTTCGAATTTTTTTTTGGTTGGGGGTACTAAGTTTGCCAAACTTTTGACATTTTACAGTTACTTTTTACAAACTGTACATGTAATTGTGCAGATTGTCATCATATAATTTGCATGCCAATTGCACATGTGCAAAATCGGTGAAGATGCCTGAATTCACCACATGACCCATTGCGACACCCGTCCGGCAGTCCGGCATTATTGTAAGTGTTCGCTCAAATGGTCCGTGGTCCGCTGTAGGATGCGGGAAAGTAAGGTACAGAGAAATATCCAGCTTAAACGCCCGGCAGACATCTTATACCACTCGACCACCGAGCTTGCGTGATCGGTTGGCTGGTTCGAATCCGATGTATACATGAAGCATCTGATGCACATCACCCCGACGCAAATTCCATCTTACGAATAGTACCCGCCGCTACATGTACATAAGATTCGAACCAGCCAAACCATCCCGGAAGCTCAGCAGGAGGTCGTAGGTTCGAGTCCCACCCGAGTGATTTGTTTCTTCCAACTTTCACTCGGGAGGTAACGCACTGAGTATACAGTGTTTATACTTAAGTGAAGGGCAAAACCTAATATTGATTTACATGAAAAACCTGTAATTTTTGTCATGTTGGACGGCACATGCGGGTTCTGTATAGAACAATGCGATTGGCGTACATTGCGAACTGTATAATTTTCCCTCTGTCCCACTCCTTAAGTATAGCAAACTAATTAAGAACGAAAGTCAAAGTTGCACACGATGTTTTGAACAATTCTTCGTAAGTCGCAGCTCCTCGAAATGGATTTTCCTACCGATTTTCACATATAAATCAGTTGGCGTTGTTTCCCCCAGGCCTATCGTATAATCCGTCTACGCATGAATAGGCCCTCATTTAAATAATTTTCACCACCAAGTTCTGCGTCCAAAATTTCACTATGAAACGGTGCTGCAGTACGGTACTCGACCGTTTGCATGATGTTTCGACTAAAATAAAAAAATGCAGTGATTTGGGAGTTTATATGCCAACAACCCTATCGATGCACCAAATGAGCTATGATCGCTCTTTAAGTTGCTTGAACATATTTGCTTTTTTCCCAGCGAATTTTCAATTCACTTTACTTAAATGGGGGAAAAAAATATATGTTTAGAACGTTTTCAGCCCTCTGAAAATATACTTTTATTTTGGCTTGCTTTTGTGCCCACAACGCACAAAAGATACTCCTGAATTATTGTCAGGCCGCAAATAACTTGAAATTTATAATTATTTCATAACTAAAAATGGACACATTTTTTTGTTCGATGCCTCATTCAAAAGTGAATCACTTTTGTTTTGCTAGCAATTTAAAGTTGCGTTCTCCGTGCTCTTCAACAAATTCGATTTTTTTTTCCTATTAATAACTTTTCAACTATAGTTTGTTTATACTAACAAAAAAACTCAAGTTTTCTTCTTCTTTTTTGTGGGGGGGGGACGTCTGTAACCCTCTGAATAATAAAAAGTATTTTTGTTTTGGGCACAAACAGATCCGCTTTGCGAGCAGACTGGCTCCCGGTCCGTACATGATCGATACTGATTATGGGACGGGAACCAGCCTTCCCCGCGAGAACGGAATTATTATCTGGCAGCCAATAATTCGAAATTGTAAAGTAATAATTCAATAACTAAACATGGGCCGATTTTTAAGTCGATGTCTCATTCAAAAGTAAACAACTTTCGTATTGCTATAGAAAAATAGCAATTTAGAAAAGGATTCTATTTTTAGGATTAAACTCGAAACTTTAGAAACTTAATCTACTTTTTCTTTTCAAATTTAAAGACAAAATCTATTTTTCGAGGTGGGCTCAAAAACAGCACGGGAGACATTATCATATAGCATGGTCAAAAAGTACATCATGAAATAAAAAAGGCCCGCTTCTTCTAACCTAAATGGTTCCCACTGCTATACAGGGACATGGGTCCGAGATGTCGATTTGTCAAAAAAAAAAAAATGAAACCCGAAATCTGTGAGCCAATAAATCCAATATAAATGATCAATTTTCGTTTGTTCTACATCACAAAAAGGGCGAATTGGACTTTGACAACACACAAAAACGATTCAACTGAGTGTTATGTATATGTATTTGAATAGTTACTTTATTTCAGTCGGGACACAGACGTGTCTACTTTACATTGCAAAACCGCGATGTTTCAATTTGACACCTTACTCCAAAATTGACGCTGTTTACATTTAACACCCCGGTTTTGCAGTGCAAGAATTCTAATAAATCTTAAAGTTGGTATATACGTGCTTTTTCAAAATTTCGATTTTATTTTCCGAACGAAATTTAAAGGATATAATGTCCTGTAACAAATAAATTTGCTGGTTTGTTTTTGGAGGCTATATACAGTTTTTAAAAGTTGGTATTAAATGGCGCGCTGCAGTTCAGAAATTGTGCACACTTTTCAGAACGAATTAAGAGCGTCCCGCTCTTAATTCAAGCGTTGAAATTAATTAATTGATTTGTTATCATGGGCTGATTTTTTTTGTCGTGCGATGTTTCATTGGAAAGCACATAACTAATGTAATGCTAGAAAATTATCAATTTAATTTGAAAATCTATTTTTCAAGGTGCCACACCCACAAAGCACGCATACACCAATTTTAAAATTGATATAACTACACTGCAGACCCAGAGTCATCATTCTCAACAGAACAAAAATATAAAATAAATATTTATTCACAACATTACAATTAACTGCGTAGTCTGATGAAGTTTAACATGGCTAGTCGACGACCAAGACAAACACCGAAAATAATCATTTACATTCTTAAAAAAAATACCAAACTTAAGCAAGCTCGGGTCAATTTGATTTTGTGTGATTTAAAACTTTTAAGGCATTTCCAGATTAGTTTTTTTTTAAATCTAATATCTTTACTGCAAACACTACAATTCTTCAAATAGTCAGGCAGATTGGTGCACAATATGATGGAATTATTCATTTGATGATAAAAGCACGAAAATTGGCACACAGTCAGAGAATATAATGGGAAAGATATTTGGCTATAGGGTCATCGCAGATTTGTCCTATATTTTATAAAAAATATCTTAGGATAACATGCAATGGCAGCCATTTGGAAAATTTTTAAAATTGCTTGTTATCCTATGATATTTTTTTTCAAAGGACAAATCTGCGATGGCCCTATAGCCAAATATATCTTTCCCATGACATACTCTGACTGAATGCCAAATGTCATGCCTTTATCATCAAATGACCAATCCCATCACCAATTTGCTGTGCTAAAAAGGTATTGGCCTACTGAATGTTTCTTCCCATGCTGTGCACACTTGTAGCCAGAAGAGATTCCTGGGGAACCGCTAACACGGGATGGAGAGCTAAGTGGGTAGAGCACCGGAACGGTGCTCCTTAGGTCGCATGTTCAAACCCCGCTCCAGTTAATTTCTTTGTTCAAACTATATGCACCTATAGCCAGTTTCTCTTTGTAGTTTAGTTGATGATTCAGAAGAGATTCCGTTCGAACATGTTTGCGCAGTTGAAAAAGTAACTGTTTGTCTAAAGATTGCATGTTTTCACTATAACTTCATGCACTCTCTTTGTCAATGATGCTTTTTGTCAACGAACATATACATGTAATGCTGTCAGAAATCTGTGATGGCGTCAGTAAACTTCACAACGTCGAATTCGTAAAATCTTTCTATTTTTGTGTGTGAATGAGTTGTGAGGCATTTGATTTTAAAAACTGATGTTTGTTGGCACGCAGACAGCATGTTCTTCAACAGAAAATTACTAATCTTCCTGCTCATTAATTGATCTCATTCGGATTTTAGCACCCGACTGGTTCAGTTTCCACTCCCAGTTTGTTTTCCATAGAATGTTTTAGTTACACCTATTGACTTACGTTAACTGTTTTACTATATGCAGGCATAATTTCACGACCATGAACGAACTTGAGCTGCTTGACCAACGGCTTTTAAAATTTCCTTTGAAAGATTAATGTCTTGAAATGTATGTTCACATTCTTTGGTGTGTTTTTTAACTCTCTGTTTCCCATACTTAACTGTATACTTGCTGCATTTCGGTACTCTATACAGCAACACATAATGAAACTTGATGTTACAGCTTTAATTAAGAAAATAATTTACAAAATATACATAGATAATGACGTAACATACGCACTACGCGTTCAGATAAAATATCTAACAGTTTTACCACAGACAACCTCACTTCCATATTTGAATGATTTCCGTATAGGAAACTTCACGAGTATTACATCATGGCCAGTCGGGAGTTGGTGTATGGGGAGGTCAATCACAGCTCCGCCCCTAAAGGGGTCAGAAATTTCAGTGCACGTTTCAGTTGTTCATTTACTATTTCAAGTTTACACTTGATGGTAGCACTGAGTGTTACGGTATTTTCAAAAATCCATGTGGAGCTTTAATGAAACCAAGTTAAGGTATGTCTTGTCTACTGTCTGTCGAGGACAGCAGATAAACCAAGTACAGACTGATCGATTTACTCTCTTCGTGAACATATCTTTTGCACTTTACTTTGGATTGGGAGGCAAAGGACAAAAATAGGTTCAATGTTTTGCATTTCATTTGAAGCTGATCTACAATTGCCCATCTTCAATGCAGCTGCTACCTTACAAGATAAATTAAGATTAAGGAGTTTATGAGTGTCTAGGCATGGTGTACAGACGGCGGCAAAGCACAGATTCCAGTTTCTGAGTCCCGATTGAGCCCAAGGCTGACTCCGGATAGTGGAACCCCAGTCGAGGGAGGTTGAGTGCCGGGCAAGGTGTGGTGAGTGTGTCCGTAATGATGGTGGCAAGCGCACGGTAGGGTAGTTTGCGACTGGACGGAACTCGGTGCGATGAAGGACGAGCTAGCTGCGGCGGCCGCAGCGGCACCGGCTCTGGCCGCTAGCAGATCGGAGGCGGTGAAGGTGGGGGCTCCGGTGGCTAGACGCGCATAGGGGTGACACATGGAGCGCAGTAGGTCAGCGGAGCGACCACGAAGGTGCATGGCGTAGCTACTGTAGGCGTCGTGAGATGGGCCGACAGTAGGTGACAGAGTAGGCGGGGCAGGCTGGTAGTAACTGAAGGCAGTGGAGGGGCATGGGTAGGGCAGCCGGCCGGTCAGCATCAGGGAATACAGGTTAGGGTCCAGGGCTGCATGATGGGGCCACGAACACGCTGCCATAGACATTCGCTGACGCTTGTCCTTCATCCGCCGGTTCTGGAACCATACCTGCAGGGAGGAGAAAGTATGCCCTGTAACGATCAAGATGACCCCAAAATGAACAACAGGACCTACAGTAACTACATCAACAACATCACTTTCAGCATCAACAACAAGCAACGACCTTAAGCAACATAGAAAAAAAGTAACATATACACGACACAACATGATGTCAATCTAACTACATGTATAGGCATAGGCAGCGCCAGACACTGCATCAAGGATTCAAAATAATCACTTAAACGAATTCCTTACACATGTATTCTGCTTATATCGGGCTATAATGTACATCAAATTCAAATCAATATCGTAAATCCTTCATCGTTAGAGACGTATACACAGAACCGTCTTTACAGTCGACTTATTTTCCCATCTCGATCTAATCTCGATCATTGGCCATCATTTTGTTTTCTATCGATAGCTTCGGAGGGTAATGCCCCGTTTATGACTGTGTTTTGTAAATCAACCTTTAAGGAGGATCCCGTATGCCTTAAGCTGCCTTTTGAAACCATGAATAGTTAATCATTTTCACTTTATTAACGATGACGTCCCTATTGAGCTGGTTCGCCTGTCTGTACCCGGAGGATGCGATCGTTGGCCCGGAAGGACATCTTTTCATCGGCGTCTTATACTCCTATACCAACTGACAGGCCGGAAACGACCCTGATTTGGGAGTGGCTCCAATGGGCGATTTCTCACTGCATTCATTCCAGTTACCTCAAATCCCGATCTATCGCAGATTGCAGTACATGCACAAACTTGTGGATCCATGCAAGTAACTGTTGACCTATAAGTCTCATTCGCCATATGAAAACTCAAAGATTCTTTCGATATCCAGGGAAATTTCCATTCTAACCTCTAAAAAGGATTTTCCACACGTCCAGATCCCCAGGATGTGTAGGCCTTACTTTATAAAAGAACCTCTTTTCATAATAAGCCAAAAAAAAATTATCAGATAAGCTTATTCGTTCTTACGTTTACGGCATTTGTTTGTTGTTATCCAATTCTCATACCTCCAGTATAAATTATCAGTTTCAATTTACGCCAGCTAAGATTATGAATAATTTTGTCTATATACCACTCTATATTCAAATCCGGAAAATTATCAACAGAGGTTGAATAGTCTACAAAACTGTGTCCGTTTGCATACTTGATATGGGTGTCGGACGCTTCGCCCCATTTCCACGTCGCCCCATGTCACTTCGCCCCTAACCACTTCGCCCCATCCCCACTTCGCCCCATCCCCACTTCGCCCCATCCTCGCTTCGCCCCATCCCCGCTTCGCCCCATCCCCACTTCGCCCCATCCCCACTTCGCCCCATGTAGATTGGTTCCTCCAAGAGTGAAATTAGGATGTTAAAGGTATTGTCGTTCTCAGATAAGTGGGAGACGGGTTGGTATAGCCGGGTTGGGAACAAAGTTGGATCCAGTTTACTTCAAGCAAGTTTTTTCTCGGTAGGGAGAGTGATAGCTTGAGAGGTTGGTTATGAATTGTTCATGTGGTGGGCTAATTCTTTCTGTTGGTTAGCAATTAGTGAATCTGTTGGAATTGTTTTTAAGCCAATCAAATAGATGAGATTTTTTTCATGTAACGGCTGGGGCGAAGTGGGGATGGGGCGAAGTGGGGATGGGGCGAAGTGGGAATGGGGCGAAGTGGGAATGGGGCGAAGTGGGGATGGGGCGCAAAAACGAAAAAACGCAATTAAATTGAAGTCTGGATCGCGTTCAAAATTGTGACAAATTTTACTGACCATTAAAATGTATCACTCTTATCTACACGGAAGATTCACCTGATTCACTCGTTAAAAAAAACGCGTTGCAACGATTTCAATTCAAGAGAGCTTTTTCCGAGCTGTTTCATGGAATTTATAAGTAGTAGCATTTTATCTCAATCGGCAATTATAGAAGAGATGTTTGTCAATAAATAGCTTTTTTCATTACTGAGTCGTCTCTGTGCTCACTTAGTATGACACTGCCGCATTCTTCCACTGCATAAACAGTGGTTTTAAATTCAACACCAGTGGTGTCTTTATGGGATCACCGGTGTAAAATCTTGACACCAGTGTTTCTATATAGACACCACCGGTTTCAAATTAACAAGTATAAGTTCGTTTGTCTGAGTCAATCTGTCTGTTTGTTTGTAGGGCTGCATGGTCCTACCTTAATAGTCGTCTCCGGGAGGTTAAGCGAGGAGGCCAGCTCGCATCGTCGGGGCCGGGACACGTAGTTCTCCCGTGTGAATTCCTTCTCCAGCTTGCTGATCTGCTCCCTGGTGAACGCCGTGCGGTACCGCCGGACTTGGTTGTCAACGCCTTTGTCGCCTGCGCGAACCACAGAAACAAGAGACCGAGAAGAAATTACGTTAAGAGGTTTTACAAACTACATGTACATGTATGTACATGACTTTTTGTCACAAGTCACAAGCGGACTGTGACAAGGTTGCTTCATGTGACGTTCGGATTCATCAAGAAACGTTATACGTCTGGGGGCTGTCATATTTTTGTCTGACAAAGCTGCAAGTGGACAAATAAAAAAAAAGGAAATCCAAAAAGACCACAGATCCCAGCAACTTCGTATAGCCGTAACTTGAAATCATCCAGGGAAACATGTTTTCAAATTGGAATAACTCGAGCTGTGACAATGTAATTCCAAACAAGATTAGTTGTGAAAAAATTGTAAAATTTATATCGGTAAAATGTTCCATCGCTAAAAATTGATCAGTTCACAATCAGTTTAAGGCATAACATGCTGATATGAAGACGGTACTCGTTTTCAATGACTTGTATCGCGCTGGTCTAGGCCTAAATCAGAAAAATCGAGATGACTTATAAGGCAGGAACCATAATTCAAAATCTAAGAACTGATAATATTATTAACCAACGATTAAATTAAGTTACTTCATTTGTTCATGATTCAATTTCACAGCAATACAGCTTCTAATGTCTTTTATCTACATCAAAACGGACATACAAACTCAATTTAAGAAGTCTTTTTTTTTTAAATACAGTATTTCTAAGCACTGAATCCGGAATCTTAACCGGCAGTACAAATTATCATATTATTACTGTGTAAATAATGGTTGATGAAGCGGGAGGCGAGCCAGCATACATCATTGTCAGAGACGACGGTACACCGTGTCCCCCCTCGGGACGCTATGACAAGTTAATTTTCCCTCTCCCTATTTGTCAAAATTGCTTGTTCCTTGCCCGCTGAGGCGGATACGAGCTAAGTTACACGATAATATCAAATCAATTATGAATAAGCCTCCCCTTTCAATTGGTTATTAACGATAGATGAACTGGTGTAGAGTACAAGCCCTCTCCAATTGGATGGCTTGTTACAGACGAGATAAAGAGAAAGTAGTTGGAACAGTCGAACCGTTTCTATAAGCTTATTATAACAAAGTTTGCTCGTTTTGTTTGCTCTTTGTTTCTCTCCTATCTTTAAAATCCTGATAAAAGAACTAATCAGATTTCCCCTTGAGAATTCAGCTCTTACGTTACCAGTAATTCCCTAAACTACCATCCAGCTTATATATTACAAATCTCCAAATGCTAGCGTAGGCAGATGTACAGTACAATCGGATTTTAATGATAAAAAGTCATGGTGATTTGGCAGTTATGTGCGTATTAAATGACTGCAAACGAGTTTTTCAACAGACCTTTCTCGAAACTGATTCGGGACAAAAAAAAACATTAAAAGATATAAATACGCCGAGCACAGTGACTTTGCGTCCAGTTTACACGCAAGTAAAAAAAAAATGCGAAATTATTGCCATTTTTCGGTAACTTATAGAAAGTCCTTCACAGCACGTCTCAACAAAACTTGTTGGGACTATAAACGCTTTACTGGGAGGTTAGCTTTTAGAGTAAATAAGTTTAGTGGAAAAATACACAAGAACTTAATGAACGACCCTACTTTTCGCCACATCACAGAAAAGAAAATAGATTTATTCATTTGATAATCACATTTGTCAAACTTGAAACACCCGCTACAGACGATTGCAGACAAGGGCGGATCCAGAACACAATTTTTTGGGGGCCAAAAAAATTGTTGGACCCCTCAAAAAGTGGGTCAAAAAAATTACGGCGTGGGCGAAAAAATTTGGATTCTAGATGCTCTGTGGTGCGATCTGAGGCAATTTCTGACCACTTTAACCAATGTTTTTGGAGGAAAAGATGGTGGTGTACTCATTGCCTGCCTTTATTGCGATGTCACATAAAAAAAAAATTGGTCTCGTTTTGGGGGGGCCATGGCCCCCTTTGCCCCCCCCCCCTGGATCCGCCCTTGATTGCAGACAAAAAAAAAAATCTTAATCCATTCTAGGTAGGCCTATGTGCGAACTGATTTCATGATATTGTGTCCGTCCGATTCGTTTTTTTCCTCAATAAACTAAACCTGACTGAAGTTCCTTCCATCTCATTACAATTACTACTACATCGTGTATGCTAGTAAGAGGCAGTCGGCCAAAATCGGTTAGCGGAAAGGCCTGATATAGGATCTTAACAGGTGAAAAGATAAGTGCTTCCCCTTCCCCTTAAATGCAACAACGTACCCTAAAAATATCTCAGATTTTTTTTCTTTTCCAGGGCGGTGTTGTGTTGTTTATGTAGTGTAAAATATTAGCTTGGTATAGGCCTACACGGTCATATACTGTGATATCTTCATTCCTTCTTAAATGTACTGTTGATTTTTTCGAATTACTAGCATAAACGGAACAATACGTGTAAGGCCCCCCAAAAAAGTCTCCGGTTTCTGGTATGCGCGCGCGTCGCTGTAGCCATGCGCGTCGGCAAAATGAAAAAGTTTTTTTTTCAATGAAAGATGATGTCTCAAAACCGCCAAACTCACTGGTTTGACTGGAATCCTGCTGCTGCACAATTTCAACGTGTTTTTAGATAGGGTTATGATCGAGAATAAGCTTTATGTGGCCTCTCTGGACTCCCATATATTTGCACTAAGTCTAGTCGGGCACCATTTGCAGTCATCAGCCGACATTTAATTCAAAAAAAATCAGGTAAAAAAAAAAAAAGCCGCGTCACCGCACCACTTTTTGGGCAAGCTCCATACCAGAAACCGGAGACTTATTTTTTTTGGCCTAAGCTTAGTTTTATAAAACAACTTCTACAATACGCTGTGGATTTATACACACGACAACCAGACATCGTCGAGAGGAACAATCTAACTGGAACAGTGGCGAAACTTAACATGGCAACACAAGGAATTCTGATGAGAAACAGTGTTGCTATATGTATACTGCAAACTTACTGTGACAAAAAAAACAGCAAGCTTCAGAAATAGCCTAGTTCTTCAGTTAAAACAATCACACAAAAATCACAAAGAGTTCCAGACATAATTGAAACCTTGCTATAACAATTTGTGGGCATCATTTTAAGGAATGAAAATGATTATATCAAGTGTATAGGAAGTGTACATTGAAATAGCTTTTTTAATGATGTTTATGAGGGGAGCAGTACACCAGAAAAATACGACCGGATCTTTGGTAGAAAGGTTCAAAATTAATCCCACTCCATGTGAAATATGCAGCCGCATTATCTGTTAGGTTAATAATGTATAATAATGACATCCATTAAGCATCCGAAGGAGAATATCTCTAAGAAAGATGAGTGTCTTGGATGCAGGAATCAATAATTCATACTTAAAACCATAGACCGCTGTGGCAAGATGGAATTGTGTGGCCTGATACTTCTTTGAAACGAATGCGGGGATGTATACGATACGACAGCGCTCTGAACACCAGAAAAACAATAACCTTTTCGGATAACTGACAAAAATGGCTTATATATGAGTCACAACGATAATATATCACAAGCCCATGCACTCGAAACGACGATCCGATAACAGATGTCGAGCTGAAGACTCATTTGTTAGGTTGTTGGACTGTTTGTCTAACAGACTACATGTAATTGTATTTAGGGTGGAAACATCTCACTTGCTAAATATATTGTATATACCCTTACCTATTTTTCATGTAACGCAAAATATCGCAGAGAAAACACATGCTTCACAAACCTCTCCAAGCCCACCTTATAACCGAAACGGCATTACGGGAATAATATTCGTGAATTTACTTTGGATCAAAATTTGTGAAAGAAGATAAAAACACCATATAGCTCAGACATACACTTCCATCTTTGTCAGTTTCTGTCTTATGGAATAATTTTCAAAGATATGTTCTGAGTTTCAAGGTACACTTCATCATCCGAACACAATCACCGTGACACTCCAACGACAGCTTTATTTAAAGGAAGATGAAAATAATTGAACACTTTCTTGTACCGTTCTTAAGCGACGAGGGACTTTTTTTGTCGTAAAGAGTCAAGTTTGTAAAATATGTTGTTAAACTGACCCTAAAACTGAACCGGGTTTTAAAGTAAATGCATATATTGGCATTGACGAAAACGTTCCTAATGATCACATAATTATGAATGAAAAATGTGTAGACACTGTCTTTGCAATATTTCCCCATTGTTGAACCGCCAAAACTTTGAAAGGCTCTTCTCTAGCACAGTCCTTTATGCACATATTTCGCGAAACACAATTTATACCCTTATTTCGTAACTTCTCCGTTAATCTTTAAAAATTATTTCAAATTTCTTCATTTATCAACATTATTTTTTTGTTAGTTGAGTGAATCATTTGAATCAATTTCTGACCATTAAATATTTAGAAAACGACGGTTCTCCTCTAATCTTTTTCACTCCTCATAAAATTACCAATTTGGTCCTGAAAAATGTCCGTGCAGCTACTTAATCACTGACTGTGTTCGGGTGGAAACGATAAAACATCTTCTAAATCACTAAAAAAAAAAAATAAACAAAATCAAACAAACAAACAAACAACCCAACGGCAGCTACGTAGTCCCACAAAACTTTTTCTGCACACTAATCCTTTCAATCTTATAAATAATTCGAGGCAGAACACCTTCGGAAATCTTGGCAATTTTTTTTCTGAAAATTTCAATCAAATTTCGGTTTAGTGAACACAAAAAAAATCAAAAATTCGATGCTCAGTAACATTTAGAATTTTGGATCTGAAAACATTTGAGAATATTGAAGCATCATTTGTGGGATTTTCCTCAAAATAATAATGCAAAACAAAATGGTAAAACTTAGCAAAACAAAGTCTTACCACCTGCAAACAATTCGCGGACGATTGAGATTGAAATAAAATATGTAATACAAAAAGTGATGCAAAACTGAACAAATTACGAAACAACTTTTTACCTCCTGAGTATCTCTCGTTCAAGCATGCAATTAATTTGATTTTAAAACCAACTTTTCATAAAGAATCTTCTCAATAAGCTGCAGTGCATTACAATAATCAGTAAAAACAACTTGCGTGGCAACGTTTTCGAGAAAATACGCTGAAGACACACTTCCACCTCCATCTCATAATATACCCATACTGAAATTTGAAACCGAAGTGTCACTTCAAACAAACAAAATTGAACATTTCAAACATTGATGAGATTTGTCAACGCACCTTGACCATACTCTTCAGAAGAGTAGATAGCAGACGGAATCAGGCTGTCGTATTTCTCTGACGACTGGATGGGGCTGGCATTCTTCAACGAGCCACTCATGCGGTGCTGCTCCCGGGCTCTGTGCCGCTCCTCCCCGGCGTCAGAGTCGCTGCTCGCTCCGCTGAACTCGTGGAAGTGGAAACCCATCTCGGTGTTCGGTGAGGAGACCTGGGCGTCGGACTCGGCACCGCTACCCTCTCGCTCCGCCCTGGTCCGTCTGATGCTGTTGCAGCTGGGGTACAGCCGGGTCTCCAGTGGTATGTTGGAGGAGTTGAAGTGATCCGGACTTGTCGAGATTGCGATTGCCTGGCTTGGTTCCATGGATGAACTCTCAGTTGCCGGCATATCGCGACCAGATTTCTGCCCGTCTACAATTTCTCCAGGCCCAAATGCGCTTCTTAAAATCGACCGTTCTCAAATTTATCACCGTCACGTCTCAATGTTTAGCAATTTCTCTATGATTAGTTCCTTTCTTGAAAGGAATATTTTTTATCAGTTTAAAATAGCAACAAGCAAAGGGTGGGGAAAAATATACCGTCGCTGTTTTAGGAAGAAAATGATCACGTCTCTCTTCAACACTCGGCGACCATGCACTTGCCTCAAATGACGAGTGAGAACAAGTCAACAACTGAACTAACCCATACGACATCGTCAGATTGAGTTAACTATATGATTAACCAATTAAAGTGAATGCTCGTTAATGTTGGGGGATTTGCCCTGAGTATTGTTCCGCCCCTCAGTAGTTTGTAATGGATACCGCCAGAGAGCGACTTGAGAATCATATAAAGAAAAGTCCCTGTTGGTGGAGAAGGGAATCTTCCACTAAAGCCACGGGGGTGGTATCACTCGAACTCTCAAAGGATCATAAACCGTGACTTATTAGGAAGAAACTTCAGGAGATGGTAAGGGGGAATTATGCCATTGATCCCCACACGCTGAATACAATCCCTATAAATGCCACTAACGGAGAGGTCTTGGGCAAAAAGCATTTCAGCGGAGCTGAAAAGATCGCATCCTTCCGCCGTCAGAGTGGATGCATTTCCTGGCCATTCAGATGGTCGAATCCTGGGAGAGGCAGCGAAAAGTTGTACGCGCAGCTCCATGTGAAGAGGAATGACATCATAATAAGGCTATCATTACACGTCTGTGGCATTTGAAAGGTTGAAGGGAGAAGAGGGGGAATAACTTATGCGTGGTGGAACGCTGACGAGACGAGCATGCGTCAGACCAGCATCTAACACACGTCTCATTTCTACTTGATTGGATTCTTGTCATGATACCAGTCACTCCGCTCGGCTGGTCTTTTGCGGTGGGCAAATTAGCCCCTCGTCATTTTGTTTTCTCTTTGTGGCTCGCTCTTTCTGATGCCCGCCTGAACCGAACTCTCAGGAGGTTTAGCTTTCTTGGGACGGGCCTCATACGGCCGAGTCATTAGTATTATCAAACACAACATCAAGGGTAATAAGATGACAATGCTGGACAATAGAGTGAGCCGACAGCGCTGGCGTTTGGAACGAGAAGCTTAGTGGGCGTTCTTCGGACGCAAACCAAACTCTTTAACTGGAGGGGGGGGTGTCCCAGACCCAGTCAAGCAGTACCATCAACCAACATCAAAGGGACACCGCCAGTATTCTTCTCAGAAAAAGGAATGCACTAAACCTTTGGGTTGTCTTTTAATGATTGGGACAGCTAGACTACGGGAACTCATTGGCTGGCTTTTAATTACATCAAGTTATGGCTTGGCCTTTTGTTATCGATGTATAGGCATGAGGGGTCGCTGAGCTATGACCAAAAGCTGCACATAAAAGCCACAGGGACCGATGCAGCTCATCATAGTCAAATGGGCAAACAAACCTTCTATCAGCCTAATCACGCAAGATTTAAATTAAAAAGTACCAAAATGAAACGAAACGCACTTGCAAATAGAGATTTTTCATGTTCATTATGTTAAATCCTCCCCACGGACATGGGCTGAACTTCCTTAATTGTAATGTATACTTCGCTTGCATTGTTTGCTCGAATACGCTACATTCTTATTAAATCCAATACGTTTTCCCGTTTTATTCGTAAGTGACGTGGGGTAGTTTTCAGAAAATCATAGTGGCGCACTTGATCGTGAGATTTGACTTTCCTGTAATTATGTTGTACATAATAATTTATCTTACCTTAGGAAACCCCTCCCCCTAATTTTTTTTTTCAAAGTGTGAATAAGAAATAATTAAACGACCCTTTTTATACTGTTATCAATACATTTCCAATTAATTAGCCCTACAGCGGGTTATAAAGTTATGAATGCATAAGCTATGTTGGCATAAGATTTGGTAATTGTGTCGACAATATTCAACATTAAAAAATATATGCGAAATATGTACATGTAGTACTATTTTTTATCACTTTTGTAAGGCCTCACTTTGGCTGTCTGCATGCCGCTATTGCAAATAGTCATTTGAAATGTTGGGCAAATGTCTTTGATAATTTGCCTTTGAAATGGCGACAAAATGACTGTGGCCTTTGTAAGAGACGCAAACAAGCGAGATACAATTTGGCGAAATTCTTAACACCATCGTGTCGAAATTCATTTCGGGACCATTTTTCCTCAGTGACGATGTCTGTGCTTGCTGATGAAAGGCTGTCATTCCCCCGGGACCTAATGTCCAACTACAGGATGTTTGCTACAGTAAAACAGCGTCATCATCCAAGAATAACGAGCGACTGATTCGCCGTAACTCCCATGTAATGACCGCTTCATTTGGTTTAATTAATACCGACTTCATGTCGGTGAAGTCCACCGGGGCTGTCCCCCGGGGACTCGCATGCAAGCCCTGCTCGCGCTGCACCAGCCGACGCTACTGATATTACTGATGACGGGTGTATCTATTCCCAGCCCGACAGTACATGTATAGGGATGGATGTTTAAAGAGAGAAAAACATGAGGGCTAGGGGAAGAAGTTTCGGTCGGTGTCCTACTCTGAGACGAAGAATGAAAGCACGGAAGTAAGACCACTCTCTCCCTGCTGAGCTCGGCAGTAGATGTATCAGGGGACACGTTTAACCTTGGCAGTGGCTTGCGCCTGCCTTTCGGCTTGGACGCTGGATTACAGGAAGACAGGAGAAAGGCAGATAGAGGGACAGAACCTGAGTGAAAGATGCTCACCGACGATTCATGAGAATAACGAGCCGTCACTCACGGCGGCTGTTTGATGGAAACAGACAACAAGCTGGTTGGATTCTGTAGCGTCTGCCCTTATAGGTGTTTTTGTTTTGATTTTTGTTTTTAACATTTTTCATTTCAGAATCTAACTGTACACTGCAGGGCTGCAAGTAGTGTTTCATGTCGTATAATAACACCATGGAAGCCATATTAGTCCTCCAACGGCCCTTAGCTCAATTTAAGGAAGCCCGTAGTGCCCCTCCCGGCCCCCCCCCCCCCCCCCCCCCCCAACATACGACACTGGCAGGACGTATAGCAATCAACACTCCCAGCCGCATACATGCCTGGGCCCAATTTGACGGATTTGCTTAAATACAGTTTGCAGGGAAAAAACGCTTAATGTAGCAGAAAATTCCTCAAATACGGTAAGCATATTTTAGGGTTAGCAAGGTTTTTTGGCTTATGCGCATGCTCTTACAGCAAAGAATGGTGAAATTCTGTGGTTAGCAGAGCCATGCCATTTTGGCAGTTGGGACACACCCTAGCCCAGGCTATACGTAATGCAATGAAATCGTCGTCCAACCTGGGCTAGGACACACCCGTGCTATTATTGCGCAGAAAGCAATTTTGAAAGTACCCACTATCACATGTAGCTTGTTTGGGAGAGGGGCAGGGGCGGCCCCTGCTATTCCTCGATCCGTAGCTGGAGCGCTGCTTCTTGATCACTTTCCTTGGTACTTTTGAAATACACCGCCAGAGTTTGATGACACGCCACGTGTATTAGGTTTAATTGCACTATGTAGAGTATGAATATAATTATGAAGCGAATCAAACTTTTCACTTTAGTAATGAAGATAAACGCGTCATAAATGAGCTTTCTTTAATTACATTTATACATGATTACATGTAGATCATACCTCGAAGTTTTTTAATAGTTTGGTGTTTTCTTATCTGTTAGATTGCCGGAAACCGAAGTGCGCCAGGCAAACTGCAAACTGCTAAATGTGAATTGCATTTAATTCTTGTATGAATTAAGTATAATGGTGCCTCTGTGTAGCATTTTATTTGCTTAAAATGTTTCGAGTTACACACAGGACAAAGATACATTTTTTTTCTTTGGGAAAAGTACGCTTTTCAAACTGAGTTGTGACGTACTGTACCTTTTACAGTCTTCTCTTACAAAAATCTAACAACCTACTCCTTTACAGTCATCTAACGATGATGACATGAAACAGTCTCTGGCACCAAGTTGACATCTTCGTACACACGGAGCGGCACTGCTGTGAAAACACAGCACCGAGTCACTTGGGACCCCGCTCATGATGTCTCTAATGGCGGGCCTGTGAAGCACAATCGACGGCCGAGATGCGCCTGCAATAAGACGCTCAGGAGACATAGAGTTGAGGGAAAAGACGACGAGAGAGTTAGTCCCCTCTCGCGGGTGAAAGACTTCCGTTGTTCCTTACCAAGCAGGCCGTGAGCAAATTAGCCCAGGGATTTGGCTTAGCGAGGGATGAGGGGGCACAAGCCGGAAGGCTGACGGGGCACGGGAAGGACGGGCCAGCGCACCGGATGATGTTGGAGCGGAGGGGTCTGAAGGTGGTGAGCCCAGCCGGAGTTCTTGGCTGATGGACCTCGACTAATCATCTTCCACTTAAGCCGAGGTGCGATGAGGCTTTGCATCAAACATGGCTTCCTCTTGCTTCCCGATGCCTTTCTGCCGATGATGGAGTGAAATCATGAAATATCGCTATGAGACTACTTGTCAACAACAAAAGAAAGACAGGTTATTGAAAAAAAGTTAGATCAGTAAATGCAAATGAATCTGTGCATAAATGCCTTATTATGAAGAACACGTTTATACAAATCAAAACCCCCACTTCGACGCCTTAGGAAGAACATGTTCGTACAAAACCCAACTGTCAAATTAAAATCGGCCAATTATTGTGTAAGTAATCATTCCCTCTTCTGAATTAAACTTTACTTAAGTTTGCGACCTTGTAATGTTTCTCGAGGAGCACATAGACCGTACATTTCATGCAAGTTTCTTCATGCAGTAAACGCGCTGAAGTCGTAACGTTAAAGCCTTGGCGTTTAAGGAGGTGGGGATGGGCCACGGTACGGGCACGCCCAACCTCCGAGAGGCAGAGTTGTAGTCGAGTCACCAACGTCGAGTCCGAGTCCCGAGTCACAAGCCTCGAGTCCGAGTCTCGAGTCACAAGCCTCGAGTCCGAGTCCGAGTCACGAGTCACTTCTTAGTTGTTCACCAAACTAATACTTTTTTTTATTAAATTATTTTTCAATCCTCCATTCTGTCATTTAAGTAAATCCCAGTGTAAATAGTTTACATTGTGTGTGTACATGTTGTTTAGACCCAAAATGTGTTTTCCTTTTAATACCGGACACTTTTTGGCAGGACACCAGGCCCTGGTGCTCGTCGTGAACGCCCTAGGCTTTGGTGCGTGGCCCCTGGATACGATTTTCCGCGGCGCCGTGTTTTGTCTACGGAGTAAAACAGAATGCTACATTCGTCGCACAATACGTAAAGTTACGTTTTTTCTTTTGATGAAAATACGTGACTCGAGTCACGAGTCACCAAGCTCGAGTCCGAGTCATCATGGTCGAGTCCAAGTCCGAGTCATTTTCCAATGTGACTCGAGTCGAGTCCGAGTCACACAAAAAATGTGACTCGAGTCCGACTCGGAGTCCTACAACACTGCCGAGAGGTTGTACCCACTGCTTGACATTTGAAGAAGAAAAAAAGAGCTTGCAATTCCAGAAACAATCCATTGAGAGACCTCCTCTAGATAATGAAGACCCAAGAGTGCTCCCCCTCCTAAAAAATTGGCCCCAGTTTATCACTGGCTTGGTCAGTGGAGTGAAATAACTTGACACATTTTATTCGCGGCTTGAGTAACGCAGTGTTAATGCTGAATTTCAGCCCGTTATTGTACGTATCGTGACTCACATTACTTAAGATTTAAGGATAACCCTGACCACTTGCAGGCGATTCCGAGTTCATTTAATTTAGGATCGGAAAGTTGGGATTTCCTTCCCTGAATCCATATAGGCATTGAAGCTATATAAAAACCTGACGTCAAGTACTGTGTCCATTACAAGTCCTTACTATCGGGATATTGCCCTAAGTTGCCTATTCACTTCATCCAAGTTGAAGCCTGTTCAGTTTGTATCCTGACTATATGGCTCAAGTCAGTAAGGTATCAAGTTAGTAAGGTAAAGGTCCCAGGTATCGGTCTGATTTGGAGTCCATTATCTTCTTCTCGTCTTGACGCCTTGGAGGGGAGGTGGTGTCTATAGTCCGAATCATTGCTATCATCACCGGGTACCAGTAGCCTAGCGAGCCAGGCTTTGGGTCGAGAGGGAGCAAAATTGGTATTTCGTTCCTGGGAAAAGTGGCCTTATTTTTTTTTTCGGTCGTGAAAATTGTAAAGAGTAGGGACGGTATTACTACTAAAAGCGGTTTTATGCTGGCGCTTTCGTTTCCTCAGAAAAACAAAATAGCAAATTGTCGCCAGGAGGCGGCACGAGTCAGTCACGGGGAACAAGACAAAGGCATGCAACTCTGCGTCCACTGATTTCAAAAACAGATCACTGATGGGTTGATCTTGTTTCAAATCGCTGAGTGAGAAGGTGAAGTCCAGATCGAGTGCCGATGAGTTACAAAATGTGTAATCACCCCAGCATCATGACTTGCGTTGAGCATATAACAAGTGCTGTCAGACTCCCAGAAAAGATAGGTGTCGAGTTCGAGTCATTGCGCATTCACCAATATTATGAATCCTACCGAAGGGTCGCAGAGCCTTAAAAAAATATAAATTAGATTCAACCTAAGACATGTGGTTCACAGAGTATTCGTTTTGAGTCCGATTCTAGGTGACCTACTGAGAACTGAGGTTATCATCGCTTGATGATTAAGCCAAAATTGATGTGCTGGTGAGTTTTGACAACCTATTCCGCTTCTTGTTAGTAAAGGCTGGAGGATCAAATTCCGTCAAAGTCTCCAAGTCAAAAGCAACATAGACATATAAAAGAACACATTTGATCCTTCGTATAATTATCGTCAACACAAAACCGCTGTTCAAATTTAAAAACCTTATCTACACTCTATAGTGACACGTAAGTTGCTGTACTTTTAAAACCTGCGTGTCGAGAGCATGCATGCCTCGAGCCTTTCATTAATTTGTAAAAGAGCTGCCATTTTTTCCTCTTTATATAAATAAGAAGCACCAAGGAATGATACATCAACGTTAACATATCTCCATTGACTATATATCTGCAGGGGGCAGCGGAGGGAGAGGCTCACGCGCATTTTAATTAAATCTCTTCACTCGAGTGGCTCTGTATCTGACGCCCCATCCAACCCCCATCTATCAAGAATCTGCTCTCCCATGTTCCACTGTGATTCCCCCCAAATCATGTTTTATTTGGTTTCCGTTCGCGAGGGCCTTAAATGGCAATTCCGGTTTCACAGTCTGAGCTGTTAACGTATGGCGGCCGTGCCTTGCTTTCGCGCCCTTTTGGCTCTGGGCTGGAACGCGAGCAAATTGGGAAGCCAGGTAATGACAGCCGCTGCATACCCACCACTCCATTGGTAGAGCACAGAGGACGGGCAAGCCACCGGTAATAACCGATTACTTTGACACGGCAAAGGCGTTGGCTTTGTAAATAGTAACTCGTCCTCTCTCAATCATTGTCCGTTCTGGAAAATTGTTTTCTTGGTCCGGAGGGTGTAAGAGCCGTGATTTCTGAATTATGCATACATTAGATATTGGATTTGGTGGCGAGCGGGAAAAAAATATGCTGAACGATGAGAGAAACTTCTGAGAAAGACAGGGTGTGGACGGTAGCGGAAGTGTATTCGGGTTGGTTTTTTTTATAGGAAGGCAGATGTGAATCTAATTCTTGTAGAGGGGGTCGTCATTTAGGAATGGTTGTGAGGAGGTTGCAGTGCGGGCATCATACCCTTTAGCCTTATGAGATGTTATTGACAAATATTTTGAAGAAAAAAAGGTCAAAAAAGCTAAGGAAAATGTGAACTTCAGCCTATTATTTTAGAGCCACGAGCCCAGGTCAGGGTTGGCAATGACCTTTTTCCTTCCTTCCCTGCATCCTCTGGAGTCCGGCAGGGTTGTGTGCTGGCTGCTGGCACTGCATATAGTTTTGCTCTGTCATGTATCAAAGTTTGTGTCACTGAGTGTGAGGGCTCATTCGGGATTGATGTATACGGGAATCATGTTTACCGACCTGCTTCATATTCGATGCCACCCTCTTCATAATTGGCGGGACTCCCTCAAAACCTCTCCGCTTGAGGCTGCTATTTGGCCTTAAGCCGTCATGGGTAAAACTATAGCTCAGAGCCCAAGCGGTCCAACTCCGGACAAAACCCTACCGATTATGTTGTTTTTGAAGCAGTGGACTCATTTTGCCACCTTGTATCTGGGGAGGTGGACCCTGATGGTCCTGTGCTACTGGCAGTGGCGGCGCTACGGGGGACCAAGGAGGTGATCCCCCCACTGAGTTGTTTCCTTGCCCTCCTCTCCCCCCCCCCCTTCCCCAGTTTTCCCCCTCCCCCACCATTTTCTCCTAACACTGTATCTACAAACAGATTAATTATGTTTGTTTTCTTCGTTGTTAAGATTAGTTGAAGATGGAGAGTGAATCATCATTCTGTGGACACATGGGCCAAAGAAAGACACTAGTACTTTGGTAGACAAAACACGCCAAACATGCACAGCCGAAGATTTAGGATATCATTAGATTTTATTTTGACTGCCCCCAAAATATTTCCTTGCTCCCAATTATCCCACCCCGCCCTAATTTTAGAGTCTGGCGCCGCCATTAAGCTATTGGATCGATGAACTAATAAAAATATGCACATAATTAATTAATTCAAAAGCTATAGCGCCATTATTTGATCACTGGTATAGTCACCAAGTCTATACATATACATTGGTGTTATTTTTTCTTTAGGATAACTAGCCAAAAATGTAATCCATACCCGAACGTCCACAAATAGAAATCACCTCTTTCCAGTGGCGAATCCAGGTTTGGATGGGGGGATTGAAATAATGGGCGTTGCCAGAGGAATTTGGATGAGCGGTGTGTCGACACATTATTTTGTCAACAGTGCTGGATAGTAGCCAGTCACTCCATCACCCCCTCCCCCACCTTCACCCAAAAAAAAGGGGGGGGGGAGGGAGGGGGGGAGGGGAGATCAGGGTTCGAGGGCTGGGCGTCATCTGTATAATGGGGGCGCTGTTCAAAGCGGACGTTATTTTGACAACAGTGGCTCGCTGGCGCTGGCGGCGAATTTCTTTTCCGTAGGCGGCATGCTCCAAAGTCATAAATAATTCACTAGTTTGATCGGGCCAGTATGTTTATTCATGAAACAGAACAATGATATCAAGAGCATTGTTGATATTTAGTAAACTACCTTTAAAGCATTTTAAAGTACGGACATCGTCGAGCTACCACACAGTAGCCTAGTGGATGGATAGCGTGATAGTGGAAAGTGGATAGCGGAGCTCTGGATACAAAGATCCCCGGGTTCGAATCCACGTCGTAGCTGCTCATTTTCATCAACTGTTTTTCTTCTCTGAATTCATCGTTTAGATAATTGTATTTTAAGGGGAAAAGAGAACGAGAACCTAAGCGTCTTGCAACGCATTCAAAGGAAAACTGAATTGCATGACTTTGGAGCATCCCGCCTACGGAAAAAAATTCGCGCGTTGGCGCAGTGATCGTGAGCATTGTACGCATGTACGGTTAAAACTAGTCCAAGACTACATTTTTGGAGAAGTATACTCCCGTAATTCAGCCCTGAGTTCCGATTTATAAGCACTGTCACTCAAGCCACCGCAGGCGCGGATCCTTAATTTGTTTTCATAGAAATAGGGGGCGCTCTTCAAACCGACCATTTTCAGGGCGCATTGTGAGCGAGGTTTTGGGCCACGGTTTTGATATTCCTCGTTCATATCAGAACTCTACATTTTGAGAAATGGTTACTGAAAACAAAAAGTTTTGTTTTCATCTCGAGGGGGCACACACATTTTATGCTCGAGGGGGCACATTTATGTCCGCAAGAGGGGCACTCAGTGGGTAAATCGGGGGGCCGGGGAACTAGCCCCCCCCCCCGCCCCCGGTTCCGCCACCGGGACTCCCGGGGGCCGGCCTGGGGCACACCCCTGTTACTCCCCCCCCCCCCCTTGCGTATAGATTTAGGATTGAGGTTGGGGTTGGCCAATTGGTACTGTTTTTTTTCTAAAAACAGAAATAGGCTTCACTTTTTTGTCTGTAAAATTATACAAGCAGGGCAGAGTTACTGCGGTTGAAATGCTAGTGTTTCTATTGTTTCTGAAACAAAGAAGAACAAAAGATAAAATGTCAACACCCCCCCCCCCCACTAACACGTGTCCAAACTCCAATTAACAAGAGACTGCAGGGATCCCCGGCACATCATTGATTCAAAAACCGATGATGGATGGACTAGGAACCAGTCTAACCATTGATGCATTGATGCGTTGTGGACAAAAATAAGAATGACATCATTCAAACTGCACGCCAACCCTCCGTCTATTTTTAGATCAAAGTTTCTCCCATAAAAATGGGAATGGAGGAAGTCACGAACAACAAAGTTCGAGCAGCTTTGCTTGAACATCAAGCACGCAACTTATTAGGCCTACTAGTACTAGCAGAAAGTCAGTCTCATCACGGAGAACTTCCCTTTGGTTGAAAAAGAAATAGATTCGGTAAGTGAGGGCATTTCCTTACTCTGTGCATCTGTGTGTGTGGTAGACCCGTGAACGGGGGGTCAGACAAGTCGACCGTTGAGACAACTCGACTCGGGACAAGTCGACCGTTGAGACAACTCGACCGTTGAGACAACTCGACCGTATGTGCGATAAATGGAAAGACAAGTCGACCGTTGAGACAAGTCGCCTCGCATGTTTTTGGGCCTAGTTTCAGGGATAGTACCGGGGATTTTTGACGGCGGCTGATCGCCGTTTGGGAGTGATGACACATGAGGTTTTCTTGTTGCATATAACAGAGCCGATATAGCGCAGCGTGATTGTTTTTGCCGGGCCGGTGCGCCCACTTGCCGCGCCGGTTGACATGCCCGCGTGCCGGGCCGGGCCCGTTCCTCAATCGCGGGCAGGGCGCGCCAGCCCAACGCGACGGCCACCGGATCGGATCGCCCTCTGTGCATCGAGTATGCCCGCGCCGCGTCCTGCCACAGATTTTTGCAACTTTTTCCGCTCCACGTGTATACATTTCCATTAAGTCGAGCTGTCTCAACGGTCGAGTTGTCCCGAGTCGAGTTGTCTCAACGGTCGACTTGTCTCAACGGTCGACTTGTCCCGAGTCGAGTTGTCTCAACGGTCGACTCGTCTGACATTCCCGTGAACGTGGCTATTATAGTATTTATACGCTTCAGTCTATAGTAAAAACACTCTATCATGTCTATTGTGATCCGCTGTTATTATTAATGGAGTGACCGTTCTAGCCGAATTTCGGCTACATTTGACAGAATATTTGCATACAAAAATGAGTTGTACAGAAAATCAGCAGAACATTTTTTTCGGCAGAATTATGAAGATGAAGGAAAATGAAAAAGATTGGAAAGAAATATGGCACATTTGGTTTGAAAAACCTTCATTTTTTGAAAAATCCTTAAAACAAACCCTTGCACAATGGAACAGCAATATAAACTGGGTGATTTGGCAGACTTTCGAAGTGGATTTAGCAGAATTTTACATGGTATTACGGTCATCCTGCCATGTAAGACGGTTAGTCGGGTACCCACTGGTGATACTTCTTTCGTTTTGCGCATGCGGAACTCGGGGTACCATAGTGTCATGCCTGTCTTTGATTTTCTGATCATTTTGAAAACATTCGTTGCGACAAAGATGTGCCGTACTTTACATCAAATTTCTTTCACATTTTCTTTGAAAGTGCTTTCAAAAGGTGTCCCTAGAGGTTCTACCGGGGGGGGGGGGGGGGGGAAAGGGGGCTTTAGCCCCCGCGAAATTTTGTCTAGCCCCCCCAAAAAAATATTCCATAAAAAAAAAATGGCAGTAGCTAAATGTAGAAGTTGACATGCAAATTATCTCCCCCCCCCAAAAAAAAAATAGTCGTTTGTACACTATATATGGTATTATAGGGTGCATGATTGTAGGATGTTATCAGCTCTCCCTATTGAAAATGTGGTACGAGCCCAAAAATTGACTTGTGCATGGCTCCTGGCTAGACTGCATGTTTCCTGCTGGGCCCCCTAAAAATATTGGAGTCAGAAGGACAATGGGAACAGGGAAGCAGACTAGCTCATGGCTAGCATCAGACAGACCAATCACAGGGTGCTTCGATTGGTCACCTGGATTGGTTGCCTCGATGGACCAATCACGTGGTGTCTCTTTCGAGCGTTTTCACGGCGACCAATAAAAGTGCCCTGTGATTGGTCTGTCTGATGCTAGCCAGGAAACAGTCTAGCCAGGATCGAGCCATGAACAAGTCAATTTTCCCTGGGCCAAAACATTGGGCTCTAGATCCAAAAATGTATCCGTGTTTAATGACAGAAATGACAAAGTTAATCATGATGATAACTGAACTGGTTGCCATTAGCACTGGCCGAGTAATCCGAGTGCTCAAGTATTCGTGAGTAGTGTTTGCTACTACTCATGGTTTTTCATCTACTCTAGTGCTCGTCCTGGTGCGAGTAGAAGTAGGCACATGTACTCCATGTACTCGCGAGTAGCAATTTGGTTTACAAGTGCTGACTTAGAAAAAAGTAACCACTTTGTGGTTTCTGCCCCAAACTTGTCTTTTGTCTTAATAACGTCCCCTGCAATAAAGGAATCACTACCTCCATCTGTTTCCTTGGGATTCCACTAACTCTCTCAACAAATAAATCTTCAAGCAAAATGAGCCAAAGTTTTGCAGATTATATAGTAAGGATATCATTGTTGAAGAATGTGATGTGTCTTCCATGCTGTATATTTTTAGTGACTACCATCTTACTGTCAAATGCCATTATTTTCTGTATGGAATTTAGTAAACTACTGGCGAATACTCGACTACCCGCGAGAAATTTCTCTGTTAGTACTGTGGTAGGAAAATCTACTGCTCGCCCAGGCCTAGTTGCCATGGTAACAATGGGCATCCTACGTAATTGTTTTTGTACCCTTTTGACCTCTGATAGAAGGTAAAAAAGATCACCAAATTCCATACTGATCAGTCAAAGCGTTCAGGACTTTATAATAAACAAGCTGATTTACCCGATCATAGATCGGGTATAGGGCGTAGTGTTGGGGATGAAAATGTGGGCAGTTAAATGTAAATGGGGGATCATTGAGGAGACATGCAGTTATAGAAAAACAATTTTTGTGGTGTGATCTGAGGCAATTTCTGACCACTGAAACCAATTTGAGCAAAAGATCATCTTTTAAACATCATTTTCGAGCTTGGGGTAATTGAATCAGGTACACGGTATTCTGAGCAATGGAATCATTATAGTAGGCTACAATTTTTATTCGGGGAAGAGAAAGTGGGGGGGGGGACCAAACAATGTCCCCGCTTTAAAATGTGGGGGGGGGGGGGTCCCCCTCTTGTCTTTCCCACCGATTTACGCACATGATAATTATGTACCCTGATAACTGTCTGTAAATGTTCCCGTTGGTCTGTTGAATTGGCATTTTGTGAGGCAGTCGCATTGCCGGGAGAACGTAGTGAAAAGGTTACCGTAGTACACAGGCGAAGGCTGATTGTACAGTTTGGACAATAAATCATAATGTAATCAAACGTGAAGTTGTCATTTGCAATGGAAATGTTGAGTGTTAGTTACCATAAAATTACAAACGGTGTGAATGATGGAGGAAGGTCATAATTAAGTTTCAGTATTGGACTCTTCAACAAACGTAAACTTGAACTTCTTACAATTTGCGAGACCGTCTGCGAGGAAAAAGTTGATTCAACTTTTATTCAAGTTGGTCAACCATCTATATAAGAGCAAGTTTTATTCGGCCTCCGAGAAATGTTCGCTCCTGAAAGGTTCCGAGACCGCGGTCTCCCGCGACGCCAAAATGGCTCCACGTCCATAGAAAAATACGGAGAATTTCTTCCGCCAAATCAAGCACTTCAGGTCGTCCTAATTTTTCCGTACGGACCGGCGATCCGTTTTGTGGATTTTTTTGTGACTGCGTTCAAGATCGCAATATTTGAAGCAATGTATCGACCCTTCGCTGATCCCAAACAGGCCCCCGAAATTATAACGCGACACTGACTGTGACGTGCAGCGAACTCACAACGCTCAGCCTTGGTGGAAGCATATAGACAATGATAGAGCTAGTGGAAGCATGGAGCTGTAAACACATTATGGAAGCAACAGCACTCTATCACGCGACGTCACATGCTTGTGCTTCAAATACCGAGCACCGTAGACTCAACCTCGTTTCCAGGGTGTGGAGCAGGCTGCAGTACGCGTTGCCAGTGACGGTTTTACGCATAGCCCGGAAGTACTACGCAGTGTAGACTTTCGATTGGTCAGACCGCGGCAAGGCATACTAATGTGTAGTCCTTCTGGGTATTCGTTGCACTCGGCGCAGGGGCGGCAAGCGAAGCGAATAGGGACACTTGGTGGCCACGCACCATGGAGAAAAAACATTTTGCCAAGGTCACCCCATACTAACGTTTGGTGAACACTTTTGCCGAACGGCCGAGTAGAACACGTAAACGAAACCCCTACGTTGAAGCCGCTGACCTCGCACAGTCTAGACTCGCAGAAAAGCCAGAACGGGGGGCGGCCAGGCAGTCAACGTGAAAGCGCACACGACGGCAAATTCCTGCGCAAAATGCAGTCACGAAAAATCGACGAAACGGATCGCCGGTCCATACCGGAAAATTAGGACGACACGAAGCGTCCGACCCGGCGGAAGACACCCTCTGCATTTTTCCACGGACGTGGAGCGATTTTGGCGGTCTCGGATCCTTTCAGGAGCAAACATCGTCTCGGGGGCGAGTAAACTTCTCTCTTATATATATAGATATCATTGCCGGGGAGGGGGGGGGGGGTGTGGCTCCGCCCCTGATACTCATAGGGTTTATATTAACCTGCATCAAAAAATATTAAGCTAATCATTACACAAGGCTATCACATATACTTTTCACTGATAGTGATGAAACAAAGAAATTAACACCATTAAAGTGTTGCCACCTCAGGTACAGGCATCTTGAAAAGAATGTTTTTTTACGTGACGTGACATGCAGGACATACTTGAGCGCACAATTTAGCATGCAGCCTTCGAACTATGCTCGCAGTGCGCTCTGGAAAGTCATTCAGCGTCATTTTCGTATTCTACACGGCCAGCGGTTAGTGGAGGAGCACACACGCAGCCCATGGAATCTAGGCTAGCTGCCTGTGCTCTGTCACTGTAAATTAGTTGTGAAAATTTGTGACCTACAACACTCCATGACTTTGATTCTTGAGATTCTATGCCCTTAGAGAATGGTTTTGGACAATTTTCATCATAAGCCTTTAGTTTTAAGGATAGCGTACACAATAGTAGGGTAGTTTTTGATTTTGGTAGATTTCGGAAAATACAAAAGAGTTACCCAAACCAGATCTTCTGCTGTGTCCTCTATCGCCAAAAGGTTAATTAGCATATTACCAGGTCTACACAGAATTAAATGCTTCATTGAGTTCACTACACCAGGATATCCTGCTATACCGGTACATGCACAGCTACATTGTTGTATAGGCCTACCATTACCAGCATCTTAAGTGGGGTCAGGGAACCAGACTACAAGAATATGATAGGTTTTCTTGGTTTTTCCAGCATCTACAACCTCAAAACGTGAATAAAGTCACTTTAACAATATTTTCTATAACATACTAATCCTTGAAATCCATTTATTTCTGAAAATTGCAGCAAAAGCAAATGTTGTACATTCCCTTTAATTTCAGCTGAGCACATCGTGCAGCTGTATGCGCGTCGTTACATTGATAACAGGAGTTTGTAAAAACTGTACAGACGTGTACATGCTGAACGTGAAACATACATTGAAAGTACTACACCTTATGAAATTATGAGACATTGCACACGTAGGCCTACTATATTATGCATTTTGCATATCCAATAAAGGAAATACCGGTATGTGAGTCATCTATTGGGCAGTTCCTGCCACACAGGCAGATGAATTTCCCACCAAGAGTACTTAAACCATTTGTTTTTTGTTCATGTAGACTACATTGTACAGTGAAACTGAAAACAAGCACTGTTTGCTGAGATTTATGAGTTTGTACGAGTTCTTGAAGAAGAAGAGGATTTCCCAGATAAATGTAAGTGATTCAATTACATGTAGGCCTAATTGTACATAAGTTCCATGTGAATGTGATTAAAACGAAAAAAAAAAGACATGAACACGTAAATGTACATTATTTTTATTTATTTCTTTTTTTAAAAACTGGGCAGCCCATTCAGTGGAATCCACTGGTCCCCCATGGGGCCCAGTAAAGAGAAGACAATGTGAAGAAATTATAGTTTTAAAGGTGGGAGGAAAACCCCAGAAGAACATTCTGAGGAAAACCCATGGAATCAAGTGTGGGAACTGAAAACCAAATCCAATATCGAACCTGGGTCACAGCTGCGGAAGGCGAAGAAAGTACCGCTGTGCTAACCTGACTCACTATAGGTATACATTTGTGTACCTAGTGTGTGCGGCCATTGTGCGGTGTGTAGGGCCCTTCTTTAGTTTGATCAAATTAGAGTCAAGGGTGTCTTTCATCATTCAAAAATGACCTTTTCAATCTAAAGCAACTTCTCAATTCTGATGACACATTTGTTGTAAAGTTTTTGAACAGTTTCCTGGGGTAAAAATTGTGATTTTGGTGCCATGTGGTTCAGCTTGGTATTGCGCGTTCACGATCGCGGTGATCGCCATCTTTATTTTTGTGTTTTGTTTTGTCATAGTCATCGTCATAGACTTGTGATTTACTTGTGACTGGACTTGTTAGTAAAAACGTCATCCACGCGCGCCCACCATTGATAAGTAGCGCCCATTGGCTACAAACGCTGTAGCTGCGTTAACTTCCGGTTCTCATCGTGCAGGAAGTGCTGAAGGTGACGTCACACTAACGAACTGGATAGACTTGTGATTTACTTGTGACTTGTGAATAGACTTGTGACTGGAGTTGTGAATGGACTTGTGATTTACTTGTGACTGGACTTGTGATGGTGTCCTATGGGTGATGTATGTAGTTATGGGAAGATCCTGTATGCACAGTACACAGGTGCATATGTGCTTTGTACAAACTTTGTATTTCACTTACTCTTTTCCTTCCATTTCCCTCCAGAATGCAGAACCTAAAGCTTGTGGTTGTCGGCGATGGCGCCGTGGGGAAGAGCTGCCTCCTCATCAGTTACACAACGGGCTCTTTCCCGGGCAACTACGTACCCACGGTATTTGACAACTACTCCAACAGTGTCATGGTCGCAGGAAAACCCTACAACCTGGGGCTCTTTGATACGGCTGGACAGGTATGATCAGGGGCATGGCCAGACTGATTTGTTGGGGGGGGGGGGAATGAGACAACCAAATTGCAGGTGGACTAGTCTAGTTGTCAGTGTTGTAGTTGAGAACATTTTCACGAGTACAAGTACTTTGCCAGGAGTACAAGTAGGAGTACTTTGTTAGGAGTACGAGTACTTTGCCAGGAGTACGAGTACTTTGCTAGGAGTACGAGTACAAGTACTTTGCCAGGAGTACAAGTACTTTGCCAGGAGTACGAGTACTTTGCCAGGAGTACGAGTACTTTGCCAGGAGTACGAGTACTTTGCTAGGAGTACGAGTACAAGTACTTTGCCAGGAGTACGAGTACTTTGCTAGGAGTACGAGTACAAGTACTTTGCCAGGAGAACGAGTACTTTGCCAGGAGTACGAGTACTTTGCTAGGAGTACGAGTACAAGTACTTTGCCAGGAGTACGAGTACTTTGCCAGGAGTACGAGTACAAGTACTTTGCCAGGAGTACGAGTACAAGTACTTTGCCATGAGTACAAATACCGTACTTTGTCAGGAGTACAAGCATGAGTACAAATACCTTTCCATTCATGATTCTGAGTAGCAGTACAAGGCAACTTTCTTTCCATGAGTACAAGTATAATTACGAGTGCATAATTTGCATGCTTATGGGTATTGGTACCAGTACCGTCAGTGTAAGCACATGAGTCCAGGCACTTGGGACAAATGCAAACGCCTCCTCAACACTCAAAAATTTGTTCTGTTCCTGCATGTATCTAATTAATTCAGCAGGAGATCGTTTCTATGGGTACCAGTATGAATATCATTACTTTGTCTTGAGTACGAGGAGTACATATAGGAGTACAATGTACAAAGAAAATGCACTTGAGTTCTACAACACTGACTTTAGTTGAGAGTTAAAAATAAGTGAGTTTGCGGTTGCTTGTACATTGTACACATTATGTAATGTGTATCAAAGTTAGTTTGATTTTTTTTGTAATAATGTTAAGGGTCTAATACAGGGATGAAGCCAAGTCCATCACAAGTCCCTGCAAGTCCATCACAAGTCCATCACAAGTCCATCACAAGTCCATCCCAAGTCCATCACAAGTCCATCACAAGTCCATCACAAGTCCATCCCAAGTCCATCACATTTCCATCACATTTCTATCACAAGTCCTCCAGTCTCAATTCAAATCACACATTATTCAAATGATTTTTTACAATACTATTCTTTCACTGTTCCTTGTGACTGGACATGTCGAATGGACTCAGGAATTATGACTGGATTTGTGATGGACTTGTGATGGACCCGACTACACTGTACATCCCAAGCCTTATCAGTTTACCATTTTTGAAAGCTTTCCGTTCAGCGCGAGAATTGTTGCTAGGTTGAAAAACTTCTATTTTTGCATTTTCAAGACATTTGCGAGATGTGCAGAATTTGTCATTATTGGATTTGTATTTTTCTCATGCACAGGAGGACTATGACCGCCTGCGTCCGCTGTCCTACCCAGGAGCAGACATCTTCCTGGTGTGTTTCTCCGTTGAGAATAGAGATGCCTTAGAAAATGTTGCAGACAAATGGATTCCGGAGATCGTACATCACATGCCTAACACTCCAATCCTGCTGGTTGCAACCAAGATAGGCAAGTAGTTTGCAAATACCCGCCACTGGGTTCCTACAGTCATGGAAAAAAATCCTGGTTTTTAAAGCTATCGCGCAAAGTCGTGGACAAGTTGTAAAATTGTGTGGGGTTTCTTGCTTCAGTGTGATGACTGGCCACAGGCATGCAAGTTTTCCTCGGATCTGCTGATTTCCTCGTTTTTTTACTTCTCATGAATGCCATTACAAATTGAAAAATACAGTACAAAGTCTTGTGTGGTTTGGAGTTTCCTCGTTTTTTTTCCAAATTCCCAGTTGCATGCCTGTGGCCAGTGTATTGTGAAAAGGTCATGGCCCTAAATTTGTCCTGTAAGAGTCATGGACATTTCTCTCGAGTTTTCTGTGGGTACTCAGACCAGCTAACAGAGTTGCCAGGCAGAAAGACCAAAAAAGAAAAGAAAACATGCTGTGGAGTTTAAAGACTGGTCAGCACTGCAGGGAGCCAGGCACATGCCACTGTACTGGGTGACAATTTAGTTGCTGACCAGTTTTTGGCTGAGAACATCCTTCTTTGCTTGGTAGACACGGTTGAGAAGTGCTGCAGCTCTGCATTGGATCCTGTTTATAGTTGCGTTCCCCCTCTACATGTATTTTAGTGTTTTATCCTCAAAAATAGATTCCTTTTCTAAATTGCTATTTTGTCTACCAATACAAAAGTTAACTTTTAGTTTAATCATTACATTCAAAATTTGAATTGGCAGGATACTTTTTGGTCCCCCTCCCCGCCTTCCCAATTAGTATTAAGAGCCATGTCTGCTCAACAGGTGGATATGTTTGTGCCCTATATTAAAAACTTTTTCAGAGGGTTACAAATTCCCCCCCCCCCAAAAAAAAAGGAGAGGACTTTTGGTTAGAATAAGGCCAAATAAAAAACAAAACATGTTTAGCGTCCCAGCCCGCTTCCTCTTTGGAGGCCGCCTCCTTTTTTTCCCCTTTTTTTTTTAAAACTGAAAAAATGATAATTTTTCATCAGTTACATAATTGTGGCCTCTTTGTTGCATGTAGTCCATATAAAGCTGGTATGTCATTTCCTGAGTCCAATGGCGGCCATTTAAAAAACAACAACTTTGCGGCCATCTTGAAAAATAGCCCGGTTGGGCGGCCATTTTGGAGGGGAAAAAAGGGCCTCCTGCTTCCTTTTTTTCAAAAAGGCAGGACGCTAAACATGGTGGGTTTTTTTTTGGCCTAATGCATACATCTGAAAAATTATTAAGAGAAAAAAAAATTAAAAGTGTTAATGAGCACAGGGGACGCAGCTTTAAAGGCACAGAAATAGGGTAATTACCCAGAAACATACCCAGAGATTTATTGAGAACTAGTGCTGTGCCAGTTAGACCGAGGATTCAAATATTCAATCATCCACTGAATACTCCAGATTTGCACCAAAATATTCTTCACCTTCATTCAGTAATGCTTTTGCGCACGTGTCAATATTTGGCAAGAACTGTCCAACATTAATGATTGCCTTTCACAGATCTCCGTGGGAGTTCCCAACGCAGCTGTGTCTCATTCGACGAGGGCTTCAAGTTTGCACAGAAACATAACCTGGAATACACTGAAACCAGCGCACTACATGGCACAAACGTGAAAGACTGCTTTGAGAAAGCTGTGAGTAACACTTATTCAGGAAACTCCTTACTTTTCTCAATTTAACACCCTATTTCCAGATTTCTTGAAGCAATGAGTTGGTAAAATCAAGTATTACTATATTATTCATCATCACATGTCAGCCGCTACTTTTGCTGTTTGAAGCGTACACGCCCTTTTTCAGTAATCGTGGAACTAGTTTGGTGGGGGCACATCACGCATAATAACATTTTGCCAAGAAAACTCGTGAATACGTAAGGGATGGTCGATATTAGCCCCCCTCGGTGTTGAAAGCTGACAACTAGCTGCCTTTGCTTTGCCTCGGGAACTACAATCCGGGCCAAAATGGTTGGGACACTTGGAAATAACCTTAGCCTTCCACGGTCACCCACTCCCTCGCTCCCCCGGTCAATGTTGTTCTCTCCAGTTGATGGAGCACACACTGCGCAATGAGAGACAACATTGACAGGGGGCCGGGGGGTTGGGGGCGCAGCGAGATTTGGCCAGGATTGTAGGTTGGTAACTGCCAATACCTCGCTAATCAACTATCAACCCTCTCAAGCCATGTATTGCACACTGGTACTCTGAGCTTTGTTCATAGATACTGACAATCGTCCTTAACTCTAATCCTCAAGCATGTCAAGGATCCTACAGAAGATTTTGGAAGGATGTCATTGGATTAAGTAATATCTCAGCATACAGACTCCATGTACAAGGACTCCTCTCAACAGCATGAACAGTGACAAAGCTTGAAGAATTAAACGAGAGACACTTGAATCTATAGCCACTGTATGTGCCTGGCACGTAATGTACATGAAAACAGTTTTCATTCAGATAAAAACGAGGAGTTTAATGCAAGAGAGTAATCTGTACATGTACAAGAATTGTACATGGATTTTGTAGCTAAATTCATTCGAAAGAATTTGGCAGAACCAATGAGGCAATCTTTTCCTTCTTTTGTTTGTTTTGTGAAGGTGTACATGTCTGTGTGTAGCGGGACGAAAAAACACAAGAAGAAGGGGGGCCTCTTTAGCTTTGGTGGGAAGAAGTTTGTACCCCGGCCACCAGAGATGCCCCCAGCAGGTGAGATGAGTCCTTTTCAAATGACTACATTCTATTTATTAGGCTTCTATTATGTATCCGCTCAAACAATTACATTTTTGATTGTAATACAAAACAGGTGTCTCATCAGGTGGTTGTGTGTTGGTTTGATATTTCAGGTTGAAATGAAGTCATAAAACCCTCCCTAGCCCCTTTTGGCTATAGGAACCATCCTCAATCCTGCAAAGTCTACCAATTGCCACCATGTAAAAATAAGTTTCAGCCTCAATCCTCCAAAATTATCCATTATTTTTTTAATTTGTTCAGTGGAGGGGTGACCATTGCCTCAATCATTTGAAATGCCCTAACAATCACTGCTAATGGGTTGAGGCAGTGCCGATGACATTCAGAAGCAGGGCGGATGATATCAAGCATAATGCAGGGCTCAATGATGCGTGACTGAACATAAACAATGCAGGGTACAGCCACGAACTCGACACCATGTAAAAATCAACCGACACTTTTTGCCATTGCAGCCTCAATCCTCAAAAATCCTTCAAGGAGTATTTTGGAGGATTGAGGAGGATTAGGGTTGATTACAAAAAACAATCATTTGGAAAAGAGTAAATTACATTGCTAACTTAAAACTGTGTTAAGTGCCTTCCAAATATCGGCCATAAAAAAAACATGTCAACTTGCACCCATGTTTACATGCGTGTCCTTACATTTTTTCATGAATTATCTTCAGGTAAAGCCCCATGGATAGAAATCCAAACGTCAACAATTGCAAACAACTTAGGCAAGGCGTTGGAGCAGCCTTCTTACTCTGACGTCACCTTCATCGTTGAAGGGAAGAGCATCTTGGCTCACAAAGTGGTGCTGTGTAGTGCCTCTAACTTCTTCTGCCGTGTCTTTGGCCTGAAACCGCCGGACCAGGTTTGTCTTATGTTTTGTCTTGTCCAATCCATACATGCAAAAAGCGCTCAACGCATCTTTTGTTGTACAATTAGTTGAAAGATTCTTGGAAGTTGTATTCAGACGTTTTGTTTATGTCTAGGGCCAGGACGGATACATCGGTAGTTTTTCGGTACCAGATATCCTATTGAAAGTGACACTTACCCATTTTCGTTTTTCAGTTTTATTTCCCCGAAACCACCACTACTGATTTCGACAACCTTTCTGAAAAGAAAACATAATCAACTTTCAATTGGCTAGTATAGAACTGGCGATTAGGACACGTTAGACCATCATTGACTTTCCAGCATTCGATCAGAGTTAGTCAAACTCTGATATTAAAATATAAATCTCTTACATTTCCCATTTCAGGATACAGGAAGCAGCTCCAAAGTGTGGAACTTTACCTGGGAGGACATTAACGAGGGCAAGATCGCCGGTCTAGCTGGTATCCTTGATGTAGTGACCCCGGACGGTAGCTCATGTGATAAACCAACGACCCAGGTGACAATCAGTGAAGACATCTCTTACAAGACCTTCCGCCATGTCTTGGAATTTCTCTACACTGGTGAGACACTGCTTCTCTCAGCCATTGAGATCACACTTTAAAAACATTCATGACAAAGCACTTTTTCAGCGTTGAGAACTAAGCTTGGAACTCAAACTTAAGACTTAACTTTAAGAGGGCAAAACCCAGCAATAAAATTTACATCACCCCGATGCAAAATTTCATCAACAGTCATTGAATTCTCAAAGATGCTAGTCTTCCTGCTACAGCTGTTTTATGTTTTGGGAACAAAAGTCCGGGCACTGCATCCCTTCGATAAACAAAACCAGATTACATGTCGTTGTTCAGCCAATAGAAAAATGTGTTGTGTATTGTCTGGCTGCTAATGAGCTAATAAGAAAATGGGTCACCTGCTAAGTGTTGTCAACATGCTAGACTTGTTCCGAGTGCGCTCGATCAAACTTGAATGCTCTGCACTGCATTCACATGTGTGCAGTGAATGATAGTTTTAAAAAGAAAAGGTACTGATGTGTGAGGCTACCGTAGGAATATTGTGCATGCGCTGCTCCATAGCGACGCCATGCTAGCGCAATACACAAATGTATTGTACATTGTGCATTCATTGTGAGCAAAACCCCAATGGCATCGCTGATTGCTGTAGTTTATATTTAATAGTTTCGGAGAGTCATCTTGTTGCTTCCTGGATTCAGCTTTTGTAATGTGGTTTATTTTCATTTCATATCTTCAAAACATAATTAACAAGAATGTATGTATAAAGAATAATATAAATGATATGAGGGATCCAGGTAAAAAGTATGTACATGTATGCTTGTACAAGACGTGGAACCCGGTAATTACAAATAAAGTTAATAGATAAATATGTACATACACAAGGCTGAATAATACTGTCAAACAATAAAAAAAAAATCTTCTACCTCTGATCCCAAACAACTCCATTGTTCACCAACGGAATCAAACCAAAATTTCAGATCATGCAAACAAGGCATGACAAACTTTTGCAAGCAAACCCCATTAGACCTGTACAAGAGGGCAAGATTGAAATGCAATACGAAGAAAACTATTAACTTTCAGAATCTGCCACTTTCGACCTGGCATCCTCCAATGTTGATACAGCGTTAATTGAGACATTAGTGGAAGGCGTGCGCCACGGCCAAAAGCTTCTGAAGGAATGCAGGACCATGCCTGATGTCACTGCACACCTCCTCAATATTTTGGTGCAACACACAATAGAGAAGGTGTGCAATAACATCAGGGACGATCCCGCACTCCCTCAGAAGCCCTCAGCCCCTCGCCACCGTCTCCAGTGCAGCATCGACATTCTGAAAGCGAGTATTTTTTTCCATATGGTGTCCAAACCCCACCCTTTGAAATGAGTAGAGTCTGCAACAGTTATATAACCCAATCCAAAGCATTCTTGTCAAGTTTTGATTACAAATTCAGGTTCTTTTTAAATACCCTTTTTGATATTAAGGCCTGCCTAACATCACGGAGGAGGCGAGTATGGAGGACATAGTGGCTTTGCGGAAGGCATCCAGCACGCTCCGCTTACCCCAGCTTGACGACATCGCCAAGAACTTACAGAACGAAGAGGAGTTTCTGAATCCCAGCATCGGGACTTTCCTGAACGATCAGACAGGCCAGAGAACCAAGTGGTTGTTCCTCAACAGACAGGCACTGTCTGACATCAAATTCAAAATTGAAGGTATGTTTCTTGTCAGTTGACTGTGATAAAATGGGATTACCTAAAGGCATGTAGGATCATTTGCATTTATCCCAAAAGTAACGTACCAAACTATTATCCAAATGTGTACTTGGATTAAGGATCATACTGGTAAAACACTCCGTGAAATTATTTCGTCTGGCTTGCTGTCATGTAGAAAAAATCAAGAAATGTATGTGATTTCCAACGATCGGTCAGTTGAATGGTGTTTGGAAATAACGAGTATTATAGATGAAATCGTGTTTCTTAATTAAAATATTGTGCAAGGTTTTTCAAAGTTTTCTTGAAAAGAGTAATATCCACCAAGCTGAAACTTAACAGGAATGGGTTTTGAACATTCTTCTTAAGATTTTGTGTAATTGGAAACGAACAAAACACATGGAAAGCAAACGATCCTACATATGCCTTTATGTTTAAATATAGTTCATCAAGTAATCTTCAGCAGTGACAGTGTTCGCATGATATCGTACCTTAGCATATTACTATGGTTTCTTAATCAAGGGATATGTTCCACTTATAAGTGAACAATGCATGCATTTCCATTGGATTTGCACAAAAAGATAGCAAACTTTTGTTTGAGTAAGATGCAGAATAATGTATTGCGGGCAGGATAACCAAACTATCTCTTCAAATATTTCCGACTGCCATTTTACATCACGTACCTTATACCAGAGTTGCTGACTCGAGTCATGTGACTTGGACTCGAGTGGGACTCGAGTCGCTATTTTTGTGACTTGTGACTTGACTTGTAAATACCAGCTTTGACTTGTGACTTGACTTGGACTTGCAAACAATGACTTGTGACTTGACTTGGGATTGCAAAAAATGACTTGTTACCAACCCAAGTCAGACCCTACTCGAGCGACCCAATACACTTTAATTAAGCTCTTATACTTTTAATTAGCTTTTTCATTCCAGAAAATAGACCTCAGTGACTGAATCCAGTAAAATGAATAGTTCCCACTAGTTTAAAAAGTGTTCAATAAGACTGTCACAACAAACTACAGTTTTCAATGACCAATTGTCTCTTGCTTAATGTATTTCTTGAACAAACTTTGAAAGGAACCTTTCATGAAAAGAAAGCAGGCCTTTGTCAATTGCATGTAAAATACCGGATAGCCTAACCCATTGGTAGGCGTTTAGTATACATGAAAATTGAACAATTAGTGTTAGTATACTACATGTAATGGAGTGAGGAAGTCTTTTTTTCACGGTCATCTCAACATTTATTTCTACAATGTAAAATAAATTTATTAAAGTATACAAAGGGCTAATATCCGACAGATATGTGATAAACTACAAGAATAGTAATTGCAACACATTGAAAAAGGGGAATTAAGGAGGCATGTTCAAAATAACTTGTAAGTTCACGCTAGGTTAATTCTTTTAGCTTATTACAGCTGGACAAAATAATGTGCAACTTGACGTGTTCTTGGACAAAGATACTTGTGACTTGACTTGTTTTTAGACCAAATGACTTGTGACTTGACTTGTGACTGGACCTAATGACTTGTGACTTGACTTGTGACTGGACCTAATGACTTGTGACTTGACTTGGACTTGCAAACAATGACTTGTGACTTGACTTGGACTTGCAAAAAATGACTTGCTGCCACCTCTGCCTTATACTGGCCTTAGGATGTTTGGAATGCTTTGTCTACAGTTAGGGTTTATGTGAATCACTGATGTTTTATATGGAAACCTTGCAGGAACATTAATGGTGTTTATATGTGACCATTGAGATCACAAGTGTATAGGGCATGGCATAGCCACACTGGTTCATGCACATGTTACGCTGAGTTCCCAAAAGCGACTTTCACCTGAAGGTGCAGAACCCTGTTGCATGTGGGCCCATTGCGGCAATGGTGTTAAAATGTCCGTAATACAGTAGTCTAGGGGCTAGACGTTGTTATGGTTTGTTGAAATCTGTTAGCAAAGGTACAGTACCCCTAAACTGATCGTCTTTTACATTGGGCAGGGAATCGACTGTATTTTTCTCCTTGTCACAAGAGAAGGGACTTGTGAACAGATTCCATAGGCTTGCATTCATGTCAATCAGCTGTTATATAGTTTAAGTTGCACTCGTGCTGTTTTTGAGATTCACCCGGAAAAATAGATTTGATATTTAAATTGCTATTTTTGTTGCAATACAAAGGTAATCGATTTTTGAATAAGACCATCAACAATCAACCTGCACTAAAACTAATGGAAAAATAAATATTTTTGGCATGACAATTCAGTTCTCGATCGGCAGACTGGTTCCTACCACCATATCAGAATCGATAATATAGGGACCAGGACCAGTCTACTCGCAAGGCAGATGTGCAAAAGCAAACAAATATAAAAACCCTGTTTCAGAGGGATACAGATGCCCAAGAAATAAAAAAAATGGCAGTTTTCTTGTCGGAAATTTGTCACAAGTTGAAAATTTGTTGGAAGAAAAGGAATGAATTTGTTCAAGAGCAAAGGGGAACAACTTAAACTGGCTTGTCTTTGAAATAGCATATGCTTTGTGTACTGAAGAAAATGACCTGTCTTTCTCACTGTACAGAGACAACGATCCATGCCCACAAGATAATGCTGACATCTCGCTGTGAATTCATGGCTGGAATGTTTAGTGGCGTCTTCACAGAAAGCAGCAAAGATGAGGTAAAAAAAAAGCTTTCAAGGGAAACTCGGTTCTTGTCAAACAATTTATGTGATTCCTTTTGAAGACAAAGAATTCAGATTTCACAAAATGGTGTCACTTGAAACCAGAAGTCTTTAAAAAAAATTTTTTTATCCGTACGTTTTCTCAATAGAGGCATATGATCATTGTACACACACAAGCCCCCCTTCAATGGAGAAACCATTGTGCACGCTACTATCTGAACAACATCTGACACAATGCTTTTGCCATTGGAAGGGGCCTTCGTGATGGACCAAGACCGTGTGTCTGACCAAGATTGTTTCAGTGATTTGCATGTAGAACCAATGAGTTCTCCTTTTTTCAAAGCAAGAGCTTTCTCTTCTTCAAACTTTATCAGAACAGTGACAAAGAAATTGTTTCACAATGTGTGTCATGGCCTTGATGTCAAAATGACTGTAGTAGGCATCCGTCCGTCAATACTGACAATGGACTGCGCCCGGGGGGTTGTCGTCTTTGTTGCAGCGGCGGCTGTGGCTGAGCAGTCCACTTCTTGCATGACAGTCTCTGCCGTAGTTAGCGCAGAGGAAGGGAGAGGAGGCTGACACTGGGGGGGGGGGAGGGGGGCTGCTACTCACAATTTCCTCCTCTGCCTCTTTTCCTGCAGCAAGGAGGTGCGCCTCTCATCAGCGCGGTGGACCCCTGCAGCATCTGTCTGCCTCCAAGCGCTGCGATCTACATTTATTGAACGTAGTTTTGTCACATTATTTGCATAAATGTATCACATAAACAATGGGGTAGGCTCTCTGAAGCTGACTTACATTTCATATTCAAACACCTAAGCCACCTTACAATCATGTAGTTTCACAATTTAGCTTGCTGAGAATACATGTATATTGGGAGTAAATATAAGACAGACTAGTTGTGTGGTGTTATCGTTATTTCCAATTTCCCCTTGTACGTAGATCAGAATAGAAGACGTGAGTCCGGAGTGTTTCTTGGCCCTCTTGGAGTACCTGTATACTGACCACGCCCCTATAGAGGAGGGAGATGCAGTGGGCATCATGGTAGCTGCCGATCGGTACGGCCAAGAACGACTGAAGAATCTCTGTGAGTTGTACATCACCAAGGGTGTGGATGTAGCTGTGGCAAACAGCATAGCAGAGGCACATGTGGATGTCATTGGACTGCTGCACACAGCTCAGGTTTGTAGCGAATGATGTTTGACCATCCATATTTCATTTAACAAGTGTTGACTGCTGTGATGTGAGATATGTCATGGCCCATAGCACCCGAGGGCATCTATCCGTCAGTGCCCCAAGGGGTAACCTGCCATGGCAATATGAGAAATAACCCCCACCTTTGACTTTTCAAGTTATGTACATCATGTTAAAGCGCAAATCATTGGCTTTCCAACAATACCAAAGTTATTTCTGTAGCTTAATACTGTACATTCCAAAGATATATGCTGCAGGAACTTCAACAGTGTTCCGCCAAACTTCGCCAACCTCTTTTCTCGAAAAACGGCTTTTAAAAAAAAAAAAGACACGCATTGTGCCGCTAAACGGCAGTGAAAAATATTCTTAACTTTTGGGAGTATTTTTTCCCCCAGAAAAATGCATAGTGTGAATCTTGGATACCAATATGATTTTGGCATGTCTTTTCTAGTATATCAGACTTCAGGCGTTGATTACTCAAAACAAGATTTTGGGAGACATCCCTCATTTTGCCTCAGTATATGTAGATGACATACATGACATATTGTGTCAAAGAGTATGGTTGTAACCAGCGGCAGCGGAACGGGTTTGAAACTGGGGGGCATCACCAAAAAGGGGCACTTGCAAACCCGTGCTGAAATGTCGACACGTTTTTTTCACCGGACACTTGGCCTCCGTAAAATCAAATAGTGGGGGGGAGGGGGGGGGGGGGGGGCTCGTACCATCTTCCAACATAGGGGGCGCTCTTCAAAACCAATGATTATATGATAAATATGCGTTATGTGCCCGTTTTCAGGCCGTATTGTATGGGTTTTGGGACTTGGTTTTCATATTCCTCGTTTATATCAAAAATATCTATACCATTATTGGGATATCGTTACTTCGAAGAAATAGTAAGATACTTAAGGGCATTTTGGTTGTATCTTGAGGGGGCACTTTACTGTTCGAGGGGGCACATTTATGGCCGCAAGAGGGGCACTTGGGAAAATCTGGGGGGGGGGGGCAAATGCCCCCCCCCCCCCCCCCCCCCCCCCAGTTCCGCCGCCCCTGGTTGTAACTATGTAAGAAATAAATGGAATCCTTATACAGGCACGCAATTTCCTTGGATCCGCTGCTTTCCTCGTTTTTGTACTTCTCATGAATGCCATTACAAATTGAAAAACACTGTACAAAGTCTTGTGTGGTTTGGAAAAAATTCCCAGTTAAATGCCCGATTACAACTGCGATGTTTCCTGCTGGACATGAGACTGAGCGGTTGGGGTTCTCAGTCGTGGGCGCACTGGCAGGTTCCACATGCGCGCACAATGCGCACAATTTATATGCAGCACATACAGAACTCATATGCATTTTTACAGTTTGGACTCTTGGCCATTCTAGATAGACCAATGAAATAACAGTATCCAAGCACACGATATAACAATCCAAATTACACATTGTCTGGTTTCAGTCTTGGCAGAAATATGAAAATCAATGTGTAGATATGACCCCCTTTTCTATAATTATGTAAAAATGAGGTTTGCTGCCCACCCTTTCCAAATTTTCAAAGTGTTCTGCCATAGCTGGTATTGACTGTTTAGTCCCTGTTGCACCCAAAACCACCCCAGGATTATAACATACAATGTATTATATTATATGTTGTATAACACACTGTGTTTAATATGCTAATGGCTAATTTTGTGAAGTTTTATATACAATGTATCTGTACTTGCTGTACATGCTGTACTTGTTACTCATTGAGAAATATGCACTGATGTAGCCAGATAATTTCTTCCACAGATGTACAACACAACCCAGCTGGCCGCATGGTGCCTTCATTTTATCTCAAGTAACTTCATGGCCTTCAAGCAGCGGGCGGAGTTTAAGATGCTTGATGGGGAGAACCTGAAGTACATCAGCGAGAACCGCTGGCCTCCTGTCAGCTACCTGGAGGCAATGGAGAAGTACAACGCCAAATACGGACAGAAGGACGACAAGTGTAAAGTGCAGTGAAAAAGATCAAAAACGAATCCATACCACTCTGTGCTCATTCTGCTGTGCCGTTTTGTAGATCACATCACACACTGCCAGTTTGTGTATTAAAAGACATTCATGAAAAACTTGGACCTATTCCTATTGGTTGAGAGCACAACAAATTGTCTTTTAAAGATATCACGACAATGTCTATCTGCACAGGTCATCAAGTTAGAACTTGATTGTTCAACATGCATTTTGTTCATGAGTTATGATTGAAACAAATCATTCATTTTTCAACCAAAAAGCAGAACCCATCTCTGTATGTGGGGTTTACGACAAGAGTCTCCAGAGGCATTATACAGATCTCTTATGTGCAATAAAATGAAGACAGTTCTTTCCGACTCACATCACCCATTACATGCCGACTTCCAAACCAACTCCAGAAGTAACTGCTTTTTACAACCAAGGATCAGGACACGGCGATACGGCAGTTCAGTCGTTCCAGTAGATGGTACAATCAAATGGTACAATGAGCTACTGGGACGATGAGCTGTCGTGTGGCTGACTCTGATCCCTCATTAACGTAATGTAATATGTGTATATATGTAGTATTTTTTTTTTTTTTTACATGTAATCACCTGAATACCGGTGTAGCGTGAATTTACGTTTCTATGAAATTCGGACTCATTGGTAATACCGCGCATGCGTAAGTATGGTAATTAGGAAAGTTACCGGTCACGTGAGAGGGATTAACCAATAATAGGGAAAAGGGGTCTGATTTTCATAAGAGTCGGATTTTCATGTGACACCGGATTTATAAGTTTGTGTTAACTATAGGCCTATTGTATTTTTACATATTTTTAATAAATGATTGTATGTTTTTATAACCCATTCTTTGTCAAGGCCATTTACATTTCCCTTGTGAGGGATAATAAAGTCCAATCTAATAAAGTTTAGTCTAATCTAATCTAATATTTTGATTTGTTCCAATTGTACATACATGTATTACAATGGTCAGGTCTGCCAAACAAAATGTGAGATGCGAAATGGGAAACATGTAACTTCAGATTGGTAACACGTACATGTATATGGGGGAGATGTGAGATGCGAGATGGGATGGCAGATTTGGAGCACCATACAAACATAACAATGGGTAGACAAACAGTCAGGGTTGACTAGACTGACTTGTTTCACATTTTGGGCTTGTAGATGCTAGAAAAACCATGAAAACCAATCATAATCTTGTTGTCTGGTTCCCTGACCCCACTTGGGATGAACAGAGCAATTGATAGACTTTGGGGAATTATAAGGTCAGAGAATCAGTCTAGCAGGCTTGTACCACTTCACAGGTGTGTAATCAATTGCAAAGAAAATGCGGAATAACTAATTTTGAAAAATTAGGAGCAGTTTTTGAAAAAAAGCCAGTTTTTTTCCAACGCTGGTTGGCCGACCAGCGTTGGAAAAATACCATTTTCCTTGAAAATGTGAGCACACCAGGAGCCACGATTTTACAGGATGCTTTAGACTGTCATTCCCTGACAATCCAGCAAGGTATTTTGTGATAATTTTATCATTTCATTTTGAGATGTCTGCAAATGTTGTATCTTCCCTTTAAATCATTGATTTAAATCACGATTTAAATCCAATGATTTTTTAAACAAAAAATCACTGATTTAAATCACTTTTTTTGTACAAATCTTATTTTTGGCAAAAATTGATTGAGGGTCATTTTAAGCATTTAAATCAACTGATTCCACCTAATTACAAAGTGTAAGATGTCAACACATTCAAACATCACTACATGTTCTTCATCAGCATCAACTCGCATGTAGGTTTTGATTAGAGTCAGGATCTGAGTTTAAAAGTTTTCTTCAAAATTTAAATTTTAAGAAAGCGCACTCACTTTTGCTTTAATCATTCCTTGATCTGTTTACAGTAATATTGTGAATCAACTGTGCTGATGTAGGCTTACCCTAATGATCTAAAGGTGTATTAAAGTCCCAAATCCCAATTGATTGTCTTATCCCTGTTTTGCCATCAAATGTAGATCGAAACGTATGTACAATTGTAATACTTTTTTAGAGGTGCAAGGCCTGATTTCTGTTCTCTACGTTGCGAAGGACCATCAATCAAACACTATAAGTTTCACTAGGATTTTGCTGCCATTTTGAAATGAGAAACATTTTAATGAAATAAACATGTCCATGGAGAACTGTACTCAGTTTTTGTATACCATGAATGACATGGTATACTCATGCCATAAATCACATTTTTCATTCATATCCACACACAACGTACCGGTATCTCAGCTGTATCAATCAAGCCTAAAAGTGTCTTGGGTATTAATAATGTACCAATTAAGACTGAGAGCTGGATACTGTTTAATCAAAATTTCGGGAATATATCCCCTGATTGTCTTAAAGCATAGAATCATTGACCCTATCACAAAATGGCCATTCTTAAGTTTCGCCAGATCAGACCAAGCCACTTTGGTGCCATGCCAAATGGGGCCAATTTTGCATTTAATCAAAATTTTGAGAACAAGAACGAAACCAGTATTGTGTGATAGCTTGGAACTGGTAGATTATGGAAATATAACTTAAGAATGATTTTATATCAGACTAATTAACTTAAGAACAGCCCGAAAAGCACAGGGGTGGGCGTGGCCGTCACCCCCTCCTTTTCTTTTCGCTGATACCGTTGCAACGCAACGGTAGAGGAGAAAATGAAACCAGTTTGTATTGATGCCTTAACACTCATGGAATATAAAAATATAACTTAAGAGTGGTTTAAGGTCAGACTAATTACCTTAAGAGCAGCGGCAATAGTGCGGAGGGGGCGGGGCCTCAACCCCCCACCATGTACATTTTGGCTCCTATATCGTAAATCCTGCCAAGTTTCTTTGACAGTTGTTCTGATGCCTTGCGGTTATTTTGACACCAAGTTTATGAAAATAGGGCATAACTTCGACACAAAATGTCCATTTTCCAACACAGGTAGGCCTAAATGTTAACTTCAAGTTTCCCATTGAAAAGTACATGCACATGAAAGCGTGCATGACATTGACAGTGCCGACTAACAGATCGATCCCCGGTAATGGTAAGACATTAAGATGCCTTGCTTTTCAACCAGATGTTTGAAATAGGATTGAAGCAAAACAATCCAAAACATGACAATTTCGTCAGTGGATTTCAGGACGCAGTCCCCCTTTAAATGTGTCATCGAGTTCACTAAACCAGGATATCCTGCTGTAGAGTACCGAAGTGTGATGTCAAATTAGAACCAGAAAGTGTTGTGCAAACGAATGGAGTACGCGCGCGTGTTGGTTCTCGGGCTGAATCTCGCGCTAATGTCTTTTAAACACATAATAGTGCGCGTGATGTACTCACTTTGGTACTCTTTAGCGGTATTGTTGTATACCATTCGACTACCATGTTTAATTGCAAACGTGTTAAATGACTCTCAAACAAAAGAAGTGCTTCAATTGAATGGTTCTTGTAAAGCTGTAAAATTAGATGTCTCTGAAAGTCACAACAAAGGTGCCAAACATCTGCAATGTTTTTTCTCGTAATAACTCGCCCCCCCCCCCAAAATGGAGTTATGATTATGAGTGATGAAATAATGTAACCTTTGCAAAATGTACCATGTGTCTATCATAATTGTGTTAATTTCAGCTTAGCACATCATGCAGCACATGCTTGGTGTTGCACTGAAAACAGAATTTTGTCAAAACTGCACATATTAGACATATTAGACATGGTTTGCACAGGTGACATGTACATGTTCATGCTGAACGTGCTATACACCTTGTGAAATTATGAGACATAATTGTGCGCGTAGTTCTGTATCATGCATTTGCATATCCATTGAAGGTATATGTCCCGGTGTGTGAGTCACCTCTTGGGCACTTCCTGCCACACAGGTGGATGAATTTTCCACCAAGAGTAAAGTTATAGTCATTTGTTTTGGTTCATGTATATGTACACGTAGGCTACATTTGTACAGTGAAACTGAAAACAAGCACTGTTTGCTGAGATTTATGTAAGTTCACGGTACATCGCGGTGAACGCCATCTTTATTTTTGTGTTCTGTTTTGGCGTAGTCACCGTCATAGACTTGTGACTGGACTTGTGAATTGTTTGTGACTGGACTTCGGAATAAACTTGTAATTTACTTCTTACTGAACATGTGAATGGACTTGTGATTTACTTGTGACTGGACTTGTGATGGTGTCCTATGGGGGATGTATGTAGTTATGGGGAGATGCATCCTTTATGCACAGTACACAGGTGTATACATGAATGTACTTTGTACAAACTTTGTATTTCACTTACCCTTTTCCCTCCATTTCCCTCTAGAATGCAGAGGTTAAAGCTTGTGGTTGTCGGCGATGGCACCGTGGGGAAGAGCTGCCTCCTCATGAGTTACACAACGGGCTCCTTCCCCTGCTACTACGTACCCTGCAGGGTATTTGAAATCTACTCCTCCGATGTCGTAGTCGCAGGGAATTCCTACAAGGTGTTGTTCTTTGATACGGTATGATGACAGGTATGATCGGGGCATGGCCAGACTGATTTGAAGGGGGGGGGGGTGACAACCAAATTGCCGATGGACTAGCCTAGTCAATGTTGTAGTTTTACATTTTAGTACATTTTCACGAGTACAAGTACTTTGCCAGGAGTACGAGCATGAGTACAAATACCTTGTCATTCATGAGTATGAGTTGGCAGTACAAGGCAACTTTTTTTCCATGAGTACAGTGCATTTGCATGATTATGGGTAGGAGTACCATTACCGTGACTATGAGCACATGAGTCCAGGCAATTGGGACAAATGCAAAGCTTCCTATAAACACTAGAAATTGATTCTGTTTCTGCATGTGCGTTTTATGGAAACTAATTCAGCGGGAGATTGTCTCTATGAGTACGACATGTACGAGTATGAATTATAATACTTTGTCTTGAGTATGGGGAAGAGTATATGAGTACGAAGAAAATGTACTTGAGTACTACAACGCTGACTTTAGTTGATAATAAGTGAGTTTGCAGTTGCTTGTACACTGTACACATGGTATAGCAACACGTATCATCAAAGTTATAGATTGATATTTTTGGCAATCGATGCAAAGGGTCTAATACAGGGATAAAGTCAAGTCCATCACAAGTCCCCGCAAGTCCATCACAAGTCCTCCAGGTCCAATTCAAATTACAAGCTATTCAAATGAGCTTTGACAAAGGTATTCTTCCATGTTCTTGTGACTGGCCTTGTGAATTACATGTAACTGGACTTGTGATGGACCAGACTACATTGTACACCCCTGGTCTAATATACCATCAGTTTACCATTGATGAAAGCTATTCGGTCAGCGCAATTGTAGTCAGGTTGAAAAACTTACATTTGTGCATTTTCAAGACCCATGAGATGTGTAGAATTTGTCATTGTTGGATTTGTATTTTTTCCCACGAGGCCAAATAAAAAAAAAAAAAAGTTTAGCATATCATGCCTTTTTCTTCAAAATGGCTGCCCGACCGTGCTAGTTTTCAAGATGTTTTTTTTTCTTAAATGTCCACCAATTGGACTCGGGAAATGACATGTATACCAGCTTTATATGGGCCAGATGCAACATACCAAGAGGCCAAAATG